TAGGTCCTATAACAATACAAATCCCGGTCAGCGATATCATGGGTTGAGGTTGGTCGAGGGCTCAACTTGGAGCAGAGCGACCGAAGTAGGTTTCTCTAAGCATAAACACGTATCCGAGATGTTCTTCCAAAACTTCCGCTAGGAATCCCGCTGAGATACCGCTTCTATCAGGAGATTTCGCACGCCTTCATCCACCAACCCTCTGCTAGCATATGATTGAAGCTTTCAGGCACGGAGCCGGTCTCCCATCCCTTCTTTCTCAAAGTGATGATTTCTTGAGGCTCAGTTTTCTAATTTTGCACGCCTCGGCGACAACATTCGATATTATAGGTCAATTAAAGACGCTTGATCCCTATCTTACTCGTCGAGGGATAGATAGAACCTCATGAGTGATTCTTAGAAGGACCGAAAATTTATGTCTGTACTCTTGGTAAAAGATGAGATGCCTAGATCTTCTATTTTATCCTCACAAATAAATAGTAAATAAATAATAATCGGTATACCAAGCGTATGTTTACCAATGAGTTATTATAGCCGCGGGAATTGAGTAGCCTGGTACCAGGACTCCAGCACTTTGTTCGGTGCGTTCTGTAAGCGATCTGCAGTCTCTTCAAAAACCCTAGGCAAACCAGTTCCGGAGTAAGGTACATCTTTTACTACCATGTCTGCCATTCCCTTGGCTGCCAGGAATATCTGAGGCATACCGTGGCCCGTCCACCCAGCCATAATGAACATCCCTCGCTTGCCTGGTATAGGTCCCAGCCTTGGGAGTTTGTCACGAGAATATCCCATGACTAAAAGTGTGATGTGTCAGTCCAATCGACTTGTAGATCAATCATCAATAATACTTACTGCCAGTCCATATTTCCGAGACCTTTGCACCGCTATTCTCCCACCCACGGAAGTTCCGTTGCATGTATCCGTCAAAGTAATTTCGTGTCTCTTCGATCACCTCAGAATCGTCTGTGTTATTGTACCACAGATCCTTCTTGCGAAAGTAGGCTGAGCGAGCCCCGCCCACAACAATGCTACCATCAGGTCGGGGAATGAGATAGTCAAAATCCCAGTCCTTGAATCGGAGGGCGTAGGTGTTGACAATAAGTGGTGCTGGGCCAGGTGTCTTGATGCGGCAGCTCACGGCGCGGTACGGGATGATTTGCTCTCGATACTCAGGCAATAAAGCTGGGGTGTAACTATTCGAGGCAACTATAACCTTTCCGGCTTTAACAGAGCCCCGGTTGGTCTGGATCACCCAGCTGCTTTGAGAGTCGGTAGCGGGCAGGACAGAAGTCGCACAGGTATTTGTCTGGAGGTTGAGACCTCCATGTTTCAGCGCCATGGTGAACATGTGGTGGATCAATTTGTACGGCCATAGATGTGCAGCGGTATAGCTGATGCATCCTTTAGCCCCCTTTACACCTGATACCTAATATTGAACTCAAGTCAGATGGCTGCAAGTCGTTGATCCTGAGACTGCCGTGGGATGTAAAGGGAAATTCACACACAATTTCAGCATTGTCTTCGCCCACTTCAGACACCGTTTGCGCTGCAGCAACTCCCGCAGCTTTGAGATTACGCAAGCGCTTTTTTATCCTCGCATCCTGACTGCTAGAAAAGTGAACATCGCATGCTCTAGTCACGACAAAATCGCAGTCGACACCTTCCCGTTCAATGTACTCTTTAGCGGCATTCAAGTTTGCGACTTCAAAATCGGCGACTTCCGCGCCTGCAGCGAGTCCATACTGGGCAGCAATCTCAGAGGCGTGAAGGTATGGATCGGGTTTAATGTGGCCACCTAGATGTTTTAAGTATTCTGTCAGGGATTTGTCTGCGTAAGTGAACAGAAAGGCCACTACCGTTTCGCCCAGATGCCCCGGAGCATAGCTGACGAGCTTCGAGAACCAAAATCGACGGGTGATTGGGATATTGTTTCTGAATATGTGTGACTAGTGCAGCAGCACTATACCCTCCACCTATGATAACTATGTCGCTTTCGTCGGGAAGCTCTGGCGTGGACCGGAAGTTGTGAAGCTCCTGGGACTCAAGGTGCCAGAAAGGCACTGTGCCATTTGGATGTGGGAACTGGGATTGCATTACGGAATTGACTATCACAATGCGTCAATCCGTGAAATTGGCTGCGGTATGCGGTGAATGATGAGAAAGAAGTATCTGCGAAAAGCTTCCGTTATCTAGCTTCATGGAGCGATATCCTTGTATTAATTATTGGTGATCGCCTATGTTCTTTATCGGGTAATCCGAGCCATGGACAGTGGGTTAAACTATTATTTAGCGGCGCGGGTACTCGGTTCGTGTGGAGACCACAATCCAGTTCCCTAATCGGGACAGGAAGCGAAATAGAAGAAGATGCATACCGAGATGCTACACATGACTTTTTGAGTTCTTCACTCTCGTAATCCATTTAATATAAAATTATGTTAGGTTACATTTCATTCAGCCTTGCCGAATAACATTCTTATCTTGTTTTATTATATACAGAAGTGACAAGGACCTTCCCAGGGCCTAGCTGAGACTTCTATTACAGCAGGGGCTTGGTTCTCTATCCTGCTTCCTGTTTTCTCTCAATAATTTGCCTGCATTTCTGTTACTGAATCTGGCCGCTATGTCTGACTTGCATGTTTATCTTATCGCGCCCAACGGCTTAAAATTCAAGCAACCTCTGGGCCTTTTCATCGACAATGAATGGAGGCCATCCTCGAAGGGGGCGGTGATTTCGACTATAAGCCCTGCGTGAGTTTAGATTTACATTTGGCTCTACACAACTAACCTTCTGTGCGGATAATAGAAATGAAGAGGAAATCTGCACAGTGCATGCAGCAGACACGAAGGATGTCGACATGGCCGTTGAGGCTGCTCGTCGGGCATTCAACGGAGAGTGGCAATCGCTGGACACATCTGTGCGTGGTGAGCTATTATACAAGCTTGCTGGTTTGGTCGAGCAACATGCAGATGTACTGGCCACCATCGATGCCTGGGATAATGGTACGAGATCCTTCCATTCTGCGCGTTTTCTCTCCACGTCTAACGTGTATTCTGATGATGTTTTATTACAGGCAAGACCTTCCATGCCGCCCGTAACGAAGATGTTTTGGGGGCCATCAGTCTACTGCGCTATTATGCTGGCTGGTCTGATAAAATCCATGGAAAGGTTATCGACCCAAATCCAGATAAATTGGCATATGTGATGCGTGAGCCAATTGGAGTTTGTGGTGCCATTATCCCTTGGAACTTTCCTCTTGTAAATATGGTGACCAAGGTTGCTCCGGCCCTAGCGTCGGGCAACACACTAGTCGTCAAAGTGGCCGAACAAACCCCCCTTTCAGCTCTCTACTTTGCAAATCTTGTCAAGGAAGCTGGGATCCCGGCTGGAGTGGTGAATGTCCTCAATGGTACCGGTAGGGATGTTGGCTCTGCTATAGCAACTCATCCCGACATTGATATGATTACATTCACTGGGTCTACGCCCACTGGCAAACAAATTATGAAGAGCGCTGCCGGTACACTCAAGAGAGTCACCTTGGAGACAGGTGGAAAATCGCCAATGCTGGTCTTCCCAGATGCAGACATAGAACAGGCGGTGCGTTGGGGTCACCGAGGCATCATGTCCAACCAGGGACAAGTTTGTTCAGCCACAAGTCGCATACTTGTACACGCGGATATCTACGAAGCCTTTGTCAAACAGTTCAAAGCAGAGGTGGAGAAAATCTCCAAGGTCGGCGACCCTTTCCATTCAGACACCTTCCAAGGCCCACAGGTCACCAAGGATCAGTTTGACCGAGTTCTATCTTATATGGAGACTGGAAAGCGGGAAGGGGCACGGTTAGTGTGTGGTGGAACGGCATTCAAGAATGTTAGAGGCAAGGGATTTTACGTCGCCCCAACCGTATTCGCGGACGTAACAGACAGTATGACCATTGTGCAGGATGAGGTTTTTGGTCCTTTCGTGGTTATTGCACCTTTCCGCGAAGAGGCAGAGGCTATCGAACGCGCGAACAGCACGGTCTTTGGGTTGGGTGCATCCATCTTCACAAAGGACATCTCACGTGCTTTGAGGGTATCAAAGAGAATCCAGTCCGGCAGTGAGTCTTCTTCCGTTCCTTTTTGACTCTTTGGCAGTCCTAACGCATTTTTTTCTCTTTTTCTCTTTACAGCAATCTGGATCAACAGTAGCAATGACGATGATGTGCGCGTGCCATTTGGTGGATACAAACAATCAGGGTTCGGGCGGGAAATGGGTGAGGAAGGCATCGAGGCGTTCACTATTACGAAGTCTGTTCACGTCAATCTGAACGCGAGGCTATAAGACATGTGTTGTACTACTCGAGTCTACGTTCTACAATTTCACAATGGTTTTGTAGTTTAAACAAATGACTGTAACATTGTTGGATATCTCAACGATATATTTTTCAGCCTCTGTGGCAATTCTCAATCTTTGAACTACCAACAGCCCTTTTTTTTTCCAAAGTATTTCAATGAATTCTGCTCAAAACCTCCAATATCAGCCTGGGGTATCAATTTATCAACTGTCTTATTGATTTGTTTCTTTGAGACTAGACCCGAAGGACTTCTCATCACGCGGGCCATTACCGCGTCCACGCCCGCTTAGCGGCCTAATCGGGAAAGTGGTGCCCCACAAGCGTAGATACGAAATACGGAGAGAATATTGGACACGTCCTAACCCGGTCTGCATGACTTCGTTACTAGTTTTTACTATGGAAAAATGCTAATTGTTCATGGGTGGGCTTTTTCTTTCTAAATTTGACCTCGGCAGGAGAAAATACCTTCCTCGTTTTCCCTCGACACGATACCATTATAGGCTTCATCCTGGCTCCGCTTCTCAACATGACAGGAACAGCGAAACGAGGTATAGAATTTTCATGTTGGATAGTGTCCTACCATTCATTAGAAAATATATAACACTTCACACACCTATGCACTCTGAGCGATGTTTTTCCTCAAGACTAGCTGGTCAGATTTCCAAGATGCAGCTTCATATTTCATTTCTGCCTCTTCTCGGAATTATTGGTGTCATCTTTTACAAGTACCTCATATATCCAGTCCATCTTTCGCCTCTTTCCAAAGTTCCCGCGGCTCACTGGTCGTGTCGGTTCTGCTCTATCTGGATATACTGGTTGAAATGGACCAATCAGGAGAACCGCACGGTTTATGACAAGCACATGAAGCTGGGACCCTCTATTCTTCTTGGGCCAAACCTTCTCAGTATCAACACTTTTGATGATGGAGTGAAAAAGATATATCAAGGTGGTTTTCCTAAACCTGCTTTCTACTTCAATGGTTTTGCTATTTACAAGTAAGTACATAGAACGAAGGCAAATCAACGCAAGACGATGGAAGGTCTCAAATGTGGAAGAACCAAGCTAATTATCATAAACAGCACGGAGAACATTTTCACATTCGAGGACAATGCGCTACATTCCGGCCGCAAAAGAATGATCTCCAACACTTTCTCCAAATCTTTCATCATGTCGTCTCCGGCAGCACGTGCAGCCACTCGCGATGTCTTATTTGGGAGATATCTGCCTATCATTCGAAAGGCCTCTCATGAAGGCAAGCCTGTCGAGGTACTTGGATTGAATTATTCATACTCAATGGATACTTTCGTTCAATTTCAATTCGGCCGTTCCTTGGGTAGCAATTTCCTAGAGGATCACGAGGAGCGGAAGCTATACCTAGACGGTTTTTTCGCACCTTATCCGTTTCTCTTTTGGCAGTACTACTTTCCAAAGCTTGCAAATTTCCTTCGCAACATTGGACTATATTTGATTCCTCGATCTGTTGACACGAAATTTGCTGCTGCCGAAGACTGGAATCTCCAAAAATGCGACAGTGCCCAACAGCTCCTTGCAAGATCTGAGCCCATTCATAGTGATGACCAGCCTGTTATCTTCCAACAAGCTCTCCAGGCAATGAGCAAACCCAATGGTACCAAAAATGCATATCCACAAAGGATGCAGATCGCAAGCGACATGTTTGCCCACAGCTCGGCTGCATTTGAGACTAGCGGCAACACCGAAACATATCTATTCTATGAAATGTGCCGGAATCCCGAGTGGCAGACAAAACTTCGCGAGGAGCTGCGTGGCGTAAAGCTTCCACAACAAGATTACTTGAAAAGAAAGGTTGAAGCCGATGACATTGCCGCGCCGAAAGATATTGACACACTCCCAATTCTCAACGCGATAATTATGGAGACACTTCGTCTCTGGCCAGCAGTACCTGGCGGACAGCCTAGAGTGGTTCCGAAAACTTGCTCCCTTGGAGGATACTCTGATATCCCCGCAGGCACCATTGTTCAGTCATATGCATACATACTTCATCGAACCCCTGAAATTTTCCCGGAACCCTCCAAATGGAAGCCCCAGCGTTGGCTTGATGCTACACCTGACGAGCTCGCAAATATGAAGCGATGGTTTTGGGCATTCAGTAGCGGCCCAAGAATGTGTATCGGTTCCAATTTTGCATATTATTGTAAGTCTTTGGGATCTGAAATCGAGGACCATGTTAACCAATATTGGCTATGTAGCGATGAAATATATGGTTGCTGCTGTCTATGCTCATTATACTACGTCTATCCATGCACACGGCGATATGGAGCTGCTCGACTTTTACCTTGCAGGACCGAAAGGCCATCGATTGGAAATTAATTTTCATCCAGCACCTTATGCCGGCGACAATTGAATTTCAGTACTCGGTCAACACCACATGTGTTTCAATGATGGAAGATGAAATGCTCTGGCGCCGATTCTCGAGGCTCTACATTGTTTTGCAGGCTGTTTTAGTTTGTCTGTTCTACCTGGGTAGTATAGAAATAGGTAGTCAGCTTGGTCACTTCTTATACATTCAACCTTTCTCTCTCTCTCCCGCCACGCCCCAAGTTCGTATTTGGAAAGCTTAATACTAATAAGTGTATTGCCCATATTACTAGCCGGATATATTAAAAATCCCAAACATAGTCCTTGGCAGTTTTTTGATGTTCCCTTAGGTCCATTTCTTTGTATCTTCTGATACACTCAACTGAGTAATAAACCTACCATTTCCTAAATATAGCCTTTTAAGGATTCTAGTTTAGTACCATGTCACGTCTTCAATCACACACACATTTGTCATTTGTGAATACAACAGGATTCGTAAAAGCTACATGGAAATAAAGCATGCACGTATGCAGTAGACACTTTGCAAATTATAACCGAACGATAGCCTTTAATACTATAACTTAATTCTTAGAGAAGGGTCACAGGTTCATTATCGATGAAAACCGCGACGTTCATGAATCCAGGGCCAAATGTGAAATCAACGGTCGTCCCCTTCTTCAAGTACACGAATTCCCCCTTGTTCAGGACAAAGTGGTCCCCACCATGAACGTTGAGTTTGACCCATCCATCGGTGACATAAAAGAATTCATCACAGGGATAGGTCAATGTTGCAGTTCCTGTTTCCTTCGCTGCTGCTGCAACGACTTTTCCATCGGCCGAACGATACATGACAGATTTCTCCCCCACCGTACTCGGGCAGAGGTTCCCAAGGGAAACTGGTGTACGGCCCATAAGGGACATCGACTGGCGATTCTGATCCTGTGGTGTTGGGAATTGCCGGTGCCATTCCTGTTCAGACAGTTGTTAGCTACGGGCTGAGGATATTTGTAGGAACTCAGAGCGGGATGCGGACTTTCAAGGATTTTTAGAGATGAGGCAGGAAGGAATAAATATATGCAACGGCTGGTACGGACTCTGGGCCATGCCTTGGATATGCAAGCATTATATAGAGAAAGGGCAATGAAATAGACCCCGCTATCAAGCTATTGACCCACCTTTTCTTGCCACATCCAGCAGACATCCGAACTTCTCTGACGGACCAATGAAAACTTCTTTCAGGCAGCTCTTGGACTAATCAATCGCATTGAATTGCCCCAAAAGAAAGGTATGTATGACAATCCACATGCGCCGAGCCGTCCCAGAGGGGAGGTACTTCTCCACTAACTAGGATATAACTATTATGGTGAGCTAGAGACCACGGAGTACATGGTTGATAATCTTGATGACTGGAACGACTCTAACATCTATATCTAGCCCCATCTTCGAATAGCCTCACCACCCCTCCCTCCATAAGTTTGGTGTTCTGAGTAGAAATTCTTACTAGAAAGGACTCACATTGTGATAACTTATGCTCATTACCAAAGTGAACTATACAGAAAGATAAAAGGTTGATTCAATTGACTACTAATTGTATTTATCATCTGAGAAAACCAGGGAAACCATTGGAAGTTTGAGATTTCACCCACTCCAAGTAGCTTTCAAGACCCCCAAAATAGAAGTTCGTATTTGGCTTCCGCCCGGGAATATTTTGACCAAAGATCCAGCTTGCCGTCGAAGTGAACAATGACCCTTCAACCAATCGGTTGCACAAGTCGATCCATGCTGTTTCTGCTTCATCGGACACCTCCATAATCTTTGGCTTCCCTTTCCTCAGGTAAGATTCATTTGTCGTCTTCATGGCACCATTGGCAGTACCATTGACAGTGCCATTCACAGTGCCATTCACAGTACCATTCACAGTACCATTGACAGTGCCGTTCACAGTGCCATTGACAACCACATTTGGTTTTTCGACCTGAGCCGCGACAATATTTTCTTCGGCGTATTCAATGCATGACATGATGAAATTGATTTCACTTTCAATGACAGGTGGGAAATTGGCGAATGGACCTTGAGGACCAGCAACAACGAACATGTTGGGGAAACCTGCGCAGGCGATACTACCAAAAGCCTTAGGGCCGTTCTTCCAATGCTCTTGGATCGTCTTTCCATTCCGTCCTGTAATCTTGACCCGCATGTAATTGCCTTCAATGGCGTCAAATCCAGTAGCAAAAATTAGCGCGTCGAGATGATGGGTTGTTCCATCACTTGTCTGAATGCCTTCCGGAACTATCTTCTCAATCGGCGTTTCCTTGAGATCGATCACGTCAACATTCTCGCGATCGAAAATCTGATAGTAGCCGGTGTCACAAAGGGGTCGACGGGCGTATAGGTCCTTTGGCTTCAGGATTGCTGCCTTGCGGGGATCTTTCACCATTTCATCAATTTTCCCACGGATGAAGTTGCATGCCTCTTCGTTGGCATCCTTGTTGGTGGTAATGTCCCCAAAAGCGCTGAACATAAAACGGAAGCCATTACCTTGCTCCCAGACCTCTTGGAAAGCTTTCTGCCGCTCCTCAGGGCTAGCATCCATGGTCTTGCGTTTGGATTCAACCACACCAAAACCAACATTTGAGGACCAGACATTATCCCAGATTTGTGGGTAAGTAGCATTGATCTTGTCGCGATATTCTTTTGTGGCGGGCCGTTGGCCACTCGGAACTGAGTATTGAGGGTGCCGTTGGAAAGACGTTAGACTTCCAACGATTGGAGCAATTGCTGTCATAACTTGTGTTCCTGTAGATCCATTCCCAATAATGCCGACCCTTTTTCCTTCGAGATTCAAGTCTTCTGGCCATCGCGCCGTATGGATCAGGTCACCGGCGAAAGACGAAAGACCACAGATATCGGGGTAATGGACCTTGGAGAGCAATCCAAGCGAGTTGACCAAATAGCGAGCGCTAATGTTCAACTCTTCGGAGCCGGAGCAGGTCACCACCCATCTCTGAGTGTCCTCATTCCATGTCGCTGATGTCATTTCGGTCTCGAACTTCATGTATTTCCGGAGATCATGTTTCTCGACGACATGCTGGAGGTACTTCAAAATCTCCGGTTGGTAAACATAGTGATGAGTCCAGGGGTAGGTTTGCAAATCTTCCTTATCCCATGAATAGCGGTACAGGTAGCTTTCGGTATCACTCATAGCACCCGGATATCGATTCCAATACCAGGTGCCACCAACGTCGCTGGCAACGTCCACGCATTTGACAGACAGCCCCATACGTGACAGGCGGTACGTGGAGTAAATTCCTCCCACACCTGCGCCGACGACGAACGCGTCGACATTGATGGTTTCCGACATGTCTCAGGTGCTAGACAAGAGCGAAGTGCGATCGGAAATATATTGCGAAAGTGGACTGACGGTTCGAGGGGAGTATCTAGATCCCACACCATCTCTCATTTTATAACAACAGTCAATATGAATAATATCCGCCATGCTCGGCCTCATCATCGCGTCCGCTCCTCATCTGGAAAGTTGAGGGCGGATCCGACCAGAAACACCCAGTATCACAGGTGGTTTAGTTTCCTTCCGCATGGCTACGAAACTGCCCGAGATCCTATACGCTAGCACTCAGTAAAATCAATAATTTCCCCCGACGTTATCCTAACTAGGTAATTTGCCACCAATCCTTCATTAACAAATCGCGGGGACTGGCCTAATGTTGCCTATTTCGGCCTGAGAGCGAGAGGTGGGGCTCGGGGCTCCAGAGTAGTTTCTTATCGCTCCGACGGCCTCTTCCTCTGCATTTCCATTCAAGCATAGACGAGGTATGGCTCTACTCAAGCTAGACCCGGATATTGTATCAAATCAATGGTACGGAGCGCACTAGGCCAGATAGGGATTTCGATTTACGTATCGGACGTGGTGGACACAGCCTATTTGCTGTCAAGGTCATGCGCAGTGACTGATCGATATCCCCGAGCTAAGCGCTTTAATTTCTAATGAGGAATGCAGTTATCTTCACAATTGTAGAGGATTCCACAACGAAGCTGTACTTTTCAACGAGTGAATTAGTGTGCAGGCATTCTCAGCCTCAGACTCCCACTTCCCCTCGAACTGTCGCACTGCCGCGAAATGCCACGCAGATTCAACGTCCGATTCGCCCCAACCAAGAATGTGCCTGTCCACAAACCAATATCCTGTGAAAAGTGTAGCCAATGCTCTGAAATAGGCGCTCCGCCCCAGAGAAGTCGTTCCGGCTGCAAGGAGTGTAAGAGACGACGTGTCAAATGCGATGAGACATTCCCCGTTTGTCTCCGATGCCAGAAACGAGGCACGGTATGCGAATCTAAAAACTCGTTTCCACAATGGCAGTTGGAGATCCCTCCGTTGATCTCGAGCGGAATCACCTCGCCTTCACAAATGCGCCTACTCAGGCACTGGTGTGAGAAAGCCAGCCAGATCATGGTTTTGGACCCTGAATCCAACCCTTTCTCGTTGCCAATCCTTGAATATCTACACATTTCCCCGTCTCTCATGCCAACAATTCTGAGCATCAGTGCTGCCCATGAACAGTTTTTCAAGAAGGAGTGCCTCGAGACGTGTCTTGCGGAGCGAGGTAAAGCGCTGTTGCTTCTGCAAAAGGAGCTGAGTGGACGTCAACAGCCACATCCAATCACGTTTCTGAGTATCTTTATGCTTGGAATCAGCACCCCTTGGATCGACCCCTCGTCTTCCCAATTCGGGTATGAGCACCTAAATGGGGCAAGGGCTTTAATTGAGCTGATTATACATTCATGGACAAATATGGACCGCAAATTCGCACATTTGGCTCTTGGTACATATTTATACTGGGATATGGCGTGCTCATTTCTTTTTGAACCGAATCAACGATTCACAATCAGTTTGTCGATTCCAGAAGCAGTGGCAAAGATTGCAGGGGACTTTCACCCAATTATGGGCTACTCAGCTGAGATCATGTATACTCTAGCAAGCCTAGGGCGGTACTGCAGGTCATTCATTGATTTTGGCATCAGAGACACTGCGCTAGAGGAAGAATTCGAAGCACGGTTGCTGGCGTGGCAACCAACCACCAAAGATCCTGATCTCATTCTGCTGGGTAATTCTTTCCGAAACCATGGCCTGATCAACCTGTACCGAATCTGTGGACGAACTGGCGATCGAACTGGGGAATATTTCGACGTGGATAATTACACGCCTGTCGAGTATATTGAAACGGAGAAGGTCATCCGGCAATACGCTCTACAGACAGTCAGAGACTTGAGTCTCATCCCCACCAATAACTGGAATACCAATTTGCAGTCAATTTCACTTCTGACTGCAGGATCAGAGCTTACGACAGATGATCAACGGGAACGTGATATGGTAGTTAACCGATTTAGAGCTTTGTATTCAATCAACCGCTTACCTGGTAACTTTATGGCGATTGACATCCTGCAAGATGTTTGGCAAGCCCGTGACCTTGAAATTACCATGTCATGGGTACACATCATGCTCCTACGAGGGTGGAGGTTAAGCCTTGGTTGATCTTCTCTATGTGCCTCAACTCTATTTACTAAATTGACGAATGTACACGATAATTAACTCTTGATTCTGAGGCTGATTTCACTTTAATGTTTCCCAGTCTCGGATTTTTCCCAGCAAGATCACGTTATATCTGCAATAGATGCTACTGTAGAAGGAAAGACTGGATGAACAGGCCACACTTACATGGCTAGAATTACCTTTGGGTTGTGGATATATGTATCATGAAGCAACATATGGATCACTTATGTGTTCACAACGTCAAAACTCGCTAGAAAGCTTGGTTAAACACAGACTTTACTCAATTAAATGCAACAAATAAGTGACAATCAGACAGTAATCATAGTACAGCTCGTTCCGGTCGGCAAGCATCCTTGATGATGAGCTCGGCAGCTCGTTCACCAATCGCCAAAACGGTGACCATAGGATTGATCGAAGTCATGCAAGGGAATACACTGGCATCCGCAACGCGAAGATGTTGGACTCCCCTCACCTTAAGAGATGGATCAACAACCGCCATACGATCGGTCTGAACATTTCCCATCTTTGCAGTGCCACATGGGTGGTAGACGGTATTGTGGACCTTCCGACCATATTCACAAAGGTCCTCGTCGGAGACAATGTGAGATCCAGGGGCAATTTCACGCTTGATATACTTTTTAAAGGGTTCAGACTGGGCCATACGGCGCGCCATCTTTAGCATGAAGAGGTTGCTAGCCTTGTCATATCCCTCCGGATCACTAAAATAGCGCTGGTCAAGGATCGGCTTATCCTTTGGATTGGCTGACTTGAGCCATAGACGGCCAACCGAGGCAGGTCGGGGTGTATACGGAATAACGCAAAAGGCGTTTTTGGGCGTTTCATAGCCCATAGGCTTGGTATAGGTGTCAAAAGGAACGGTGAACATGTGGAAGAGAGTGTCCATAACGTCGTTATCATCACCGCGAGCGTTGATCTCCTCACGCCGTAACACCATGACACCCTCGGACCCCATGGACACCTGTTCGGGAGGGACAGGCTCGTTCAACTCCCACATATACATTGTTTCGGCGTGGTCTTGTAGATTCTCTCCAACACCGGGTATATCATGCACAAGGGGTATCTGATGGGAGGCCAACTGTTGGCGCGGGCCAAGGCCGGAAAGCAGCATCAGACGTGGAGTATCGATAGCCCCAGCACACAGCACGATTTCAGCTCTTGCGACAAGCGAGTACTCATGCCCAACTTTGGTTGTTGCGATGACACCTGTAGCAGTGGTTCCTTGGAACAGGATTCGCGAAACCCATGTGTTCTGTAGGATGGTCATGTTCGGCCGCTTGATTTCGCCACGAAGAATTGGGTGGATGTAAGCGACACTTGCACTACTCCGATGATTATTCTCCGGTGTGTAGGCGATACTGAGGAAGCCACATCCCTCCGTGAGATTGCCGCGCTCCTCTATCTCGCGGTTGAAATCGTCGATGTAGGGTACTCCAAACAATTCGGAGCAGGTCTTCAACCAGTCCTTGACTAACTGACTGCGATGGCGTTCATCGACCGGTATTATATTGTTGCGCAGCTTGTGCATTAGACGCAGCATTTCTGCGTGTGTCCAGCCCTCGGCGCCCAAAGCTTGCCACTTCTTGCAATCATAGGCTAGTGGAGCAAATGAAATCGCGCCATTGTGGCTAGAACAGCCTCCCAGCATCTTCGCACGCGAATGAATAATGTTGCTGTTTCCTATAAATTGCTCAAGAGTGTTACTCGCTGGTCGATCTTTGTTTTGTCTGCAGTCAGGTCTAGGGGTTATTCGTACCATAGGGCTGTAGAACAGAGCGGTATGAATAATCATACTTGTCGGATCCCCAAAGATCAGCCGCGCCATTGAGATTAAGAATTTCCTCCTTACCCAGCTCGCTTTCGCCGCCTTCGATCATGAGAATGCTGGCATTGGGCAAGCTCTCGGCAATTCTGTCAGCAATGACACAGCCAGCCGTGCCTCCGCCAACAATGATGTAGTCAAATTGGCGTCTGCTGGTGGGTAGACTTTCCACGATCGTGGGTTGAGTTGAAGAATTCATGACGGTACGAGGGAAAGAGCTCCTTCGGGGAATCAAAGGCGAAAGTGAAGTAGTGACGATAAGCAATGCTTGCCAAAATCGGGGACAAGCTTATAAGTAATTCCTGAAGCAGTCAAACAGCAAAGTATCATGCCATTAGATAGTCCAGTTAATCTGCAAATTCTTTTCTTTTTGTTTTCAATCTATCCATATCAGGAGAGCTTGCCTTTCTCTGCGGAGTGCTTCTTACCCGATTGAACGATTTGGCGAGCGGACCAATGTGGGAGCCGAACCGCACACGCCATAGGCTAATCTAGCCGTTCGCTCTGGATATTTGGTATTACTGGTATCAGCAGTGTAAGTTTGGTGTGAGCATGTTCGTGTTAATTGGCTGTTTGTGCTCGCTTCCTCTGGGTAGTCTTTTCTTCTGCCGATCCAATAGTTGACCCTTCCCCCCCCCCCCCCCCCCCCCCAAAACCGTATACTACAGTTGATGCGTATTACATATTTCATGTCCAAAACAAGGATCGTGACCTTAAATACACGTCTTTGTACAGACATCATGTGACTTAAATGTTATGCATTCTGCTTATTAATCTATCCGCACAAATTCACTTTTCTTTCTGCCAGCCGACCATGTCAATATATATTTTCCCCGTCGAGCTACGCAACCCACAACACCCTCCACATTTAAGTCGGGCTACACCACGTGCAATGTGGAGACCCTTGCATCGTTTCACTGAGTATGATCGACACCACCGGCATCAAAGGCAAATTCGAAACGAGCGCGAAACAGCCAATCCACTGTTCCATATATGAGCGCGACTCCGTAGATTACTGTGATATAGTTCATATCTGGGAATCATTGATGTTAACCATGTAACTTGCACAAGGCCAGAGGCTCTGGAATACTCACTGGACACAGACACCGGCATCTGATACGGGAACGAGTACATGATTATCGCGAACAGGCAGCAGGCCACGGTGATTATCTTAGATAAATTTCCAAGCCACCCAACATTGAACGGTCCCCTCGGTTGCTCATCACCGCGTAGAAGGGAAAAGATGCAAGGTGCCAGATAGGTCAGGTAAGGGAATGTGATGACACCAGTAATGAGACTAGGTAAAGTAGTTAGTTAGGCATATCAATACCAAAAGTGAACGAGATACTACCTGTTAAACGCGGTTGTAGAGACAGTATATAGCAGGCCAAGTAGACACACAATACAGACACAAAGCAGATGCGCATAGAGTGGTACATGTGAAGTGGGGTGAATTTGTGACCAGAGGCGTGAGAAAGGAAGTCCACGGTCACGAGAGAATGCCCAACAAAGCCGAGCTTGATAAGCTTGCTGGGGGGGCAGTGAGAAGAAATAGGTCACTGTGACGATAGAAATAGCCACGAGAGCAGCGGAGTCGCTTCGAAAGGCAATGCGGAAAAGCTCTACAAGTGGCACTCCGGTTGGTGTATTAATGACAGCGGTAAGATCCGTGAGAGTGTACATCAACATGCAAGTGAAAGGAAAACTGGTAATAAATCCGATCACCACTGTAAATATAATCGCCTTTGGGACGTTCCGTGCTGGATCAGGAGTCTCTTCAGCCAAGTGAGTAGCGCTGTCAAGAGCAGCAAAGGCAAAGTTGGGGTTGATCAAGCCAACTATGAATGCCATCGCATTAGACGACCAGCCACTATTGTTCTGTAGCGAGGCAAAGATAAACTTCAGCCCAGTATGATCCTGCGAAGCTGTAGGCAATGCAATCGTGATAGATATGCAAGCAAGCAAGCTCATCCACAGGCCGATTGAAACGCTACGCGAGACAACCTGCTGCCAGAGGTTGATAATAGCCCCTATTATATTCAACCCGACTGCTCCTAAATAGATTTGCCATGCATTCACCGCACTGTGAGTAACGGAACTCGGTATTAGCTGTCGCTTAAGAAACGATGGCGGTAAAAGAGCTGTACGTACAGGTCGGGGTATGCGAGCTTCGCACTACCAACAATCAAGGAACTCACGGTGATCGAAGAGCTTGCAGTGACACAGTAGGCGGCAAAGAGATTGAAAATTCCAGTCATGTAAGACAAACCCCGTTTGTATCGCTTCGGAGCTAATCGCATTACCCAATAGTATTGACCGCCAGAATGTGGCATCGCACTGATCAACTCGCTAAGGGCAATGCCAACGAACAAGTTGACCATGAACATCAGCAGTAGACCGTAGATTATACTAGCCGACCCTGCAGCTGTGACTCCTGTTGTGAAGGCGCCAGCTACTCCCAGCCAGGAATTGGTGACCGTGTACGCCGAGCCAATCAGTTGCAAGGAACTGAACTTTCGTCGGCCTCGACTACTGCCAATATCTGTTCAATGGAGTCCAAATTCGTCAGATATAATGTCCAGCTATAGCTGAATGTGATACTAACACTGCACATCGAAGGAATCCCCAGTGGAAAAATCCTCGACCTCTGCCACTTTTTCTTTCTCCTTGTTTTCCATCATTTGGGGCATGGCGCAATTGGAATTCGCGGGGCGTCTCATCAGGATACAACTTTGACGGTAGGTGGCGGGAGTTGATTGTAACAGAAGTAAAAGTGATGTGGTGGTTGCCGATAAGTTTGCGCTTCAGAAAGAGGGTGAATTTTTGTGTATAGAATTGTGCAGGTATAGGCAGCTGTCTATGCAGAACAATTCGAGCACGTACTCCATGGGAATGCTATTCCTCCGCTTCTCTCACCTTGTAAGAAAATGCTCATGTTGTATTACCCAATAACAATAGGTGATAGTGCTGAACATCCAGATCGGCGGGATAGCCGGGAGGAGTTGATTGGCTACGGCGAGATAAACGTTCGGGTAATGGCTGAGATTGGTATGCGGCCAGGCTGCTCTATCGCAACCCCAAATTTTTCTATTTGGGTGCGAATCAGGTTTTTTGGTCTGCTGACCCAACCAGTGGGTTCTGGGGTTTCGGTATACGCACATCGAGATCTTTCCTTTTTCTTTCTTTTTCTTCAATTCCCCACTCTTTATTTCCTAAGTCGGTTGTCACAATCCCGCGTGTGCGGGGGATTATCTAAACTCTTTTGGGCCGAGATAAGAAATCAACCTCATTGCTGTCTTGGACATTTTCTTCCTAGCCACTTGCTCTTGTCCCTGTGTTGTGTCTTCTGCTCTTTCTTCCCATCGTCCTTATGGCTTCCTTTCGAGTGCGCTTCGCGCCCCAGCGGACCTATCACCCGGACCAAAATGGAACAAGCGCAGCTGTACCGGACAAATCCGAGTCCAAGCCAACTCATACTCGCACCCGATCGGGTTGTCGAGGTTGCCGCCAAAGGCGTGTCAAGTGCGATGAGACGTTTCCAGTTTGCTTGCGATGTCGTCGCCGGGGCTCCATCTGTCAACCTGTCCTTCCGGCCTCTCAATGGCAGCCGGAGGTCTGGTGTTTAGGTACAGCGGATCCACTATCGCAGCTTACCCCGCCAATAAACTCTGATGCGCATGTGAACTTACGCCTGCTTCAGTACTGGTTTGAGCGCATGTCTCAAATCATGAGTCTTGACCGTGACCGAAATCCGATGTCTTTTCCTATTGTCAAGTATCTGTCTGCCTCGAGCTCGCTCGTCTATATCATCCAATGTGTCAGTGCCGCTCATGAACAACACTTCCAGCCTTCTCGAATGGCTGTGAGTCTAGAGGAGCGGAGCAAGGCTTTACGGAATCTTCGCCTGGAACTGGAGGCCCAAAGCTCAGGCTCGCCTCTCTGTTTCCTCATTATCCTCATGCTCGGTATGTCGTCCTCTTGGATCACTACTCAGCCCACAGACTATGGGCGGGAGCATCTACTAGCTGCCCAGGCTTCCGTCGACATGACCTTGGAGCAGGAAGCCACAGTAGATGATGATCTGGTGCATCTCTCAATGGGCTTTTATGTTTATTGGGACATGGCCTGTTCCTTTTGTCTGGACATAGCAGATCACCCCCAGGTCTCTCGAAGTCGGCTTGCTGCATATGTTACAACCGAACGCTCGCGCTTCCATACCATCACATCTCACTCCATTGATCTCTACTTTTTACTCGGGCAAATCGGCCGATATTGTCGTTCAGTTACCGACGGTATGCCACGAGACTTCGTACGCGAGACGACTTTTGAGGCCGAACTAAATTCCTACATTTCGGTCGAAGAGAACCCATTTGCATATCTGCTGGCCGATGCCTTCCGTAACCACGGCCTCCTCATGTTGTATCGTCTATGTGGCCGAACAGTTCATTTTGCATTGGAGGTCACAATGGACAACCAGGAAGCGGCTACCGAATGTCCAATCCGAGCGCTGGCGTTAAGGACTCTGGAAATGTTGTTTATAACACCGATTCACTCGCCATATGTAAATTTGCACACACTCCCATTGCTGAGTGCTGGGGCTGAACTAAGATCGACCGATACTGAGCTGCGGCAGCGGGTAATAGAGCAACTTCAGGCTGTCTACTCCACGAACCGCATTCCACCGACGCTATGGGTAATTGAGCTACTCCAAGAGTTATGGAATTTACACGACTCTGGTGTTGAAATGACCTGGCTAGACCTTATGCTAGCCAAACAGTGGCGCCTGCGAATTGGCTAGGTAAACTTCGTACAACATACTACCTCGACTGAGGTCCATTCAAACCCTCGAAGGTTACTCAAAATCGCCGAAATATCGACACGTAAAGAACTTTTCGCTTGGTTACTAGAGGTATCGGCCTGCAGTTCATACCAGCGTGACCTTGTCCTCGAGATCCATGAAGACGGCAACATTTGCAAAGTCTTCGCTACACTCAAACGTGATCGTCTGGCCCTTTTTCATCACCATCAGATCACCCTTGCCGAGTGTAAAGGACTCGCCGCCGTGCACTTCGATATCGATCGTTCCTTGAGTGACGAAAAGGAATTCATCAACTGGCCATACTAGTGTATCCTTCCCCTTTTCACGCAACATTCCCACGACCACCTTGCCGTCAGCGGACCTGTAGATGATCGACTTGGTTCCTGCATACATGGGGAACGGTTGCTCGGTGAAAGATTCCCAGGAGCCGTAGGGGACGGTATTGGGTTCTGAAGAACCGGTTTCGTTTCCTTGACCGCGCGGCATGATGTGAATGACGATTTCTGGTTGTCCTTGGAAGTTCCTTGATTGCTCATTAGCAAGGGTTCAATAGTATAGAGTTTCGGGTCACTCAATACCGGATAATGATGAGCCAACAGTTGGTAGAATGAAAATGTATTTCCGAGGAAAGATGTTCTATTATATGTAAATCTTGCAAGGTTGAAATATGACTAGGCTTCATCAACATCACTCCAATTGACTAGGGTCCCATTTCTGGACTTCGCTTTGAATTCAGATTAGGAAATGGACACCTATCTACGCTGCATGCTGAGCCACCAAGCCTGCTTGGTATTTTGCTCCTTTACTTATTAAATTAGCCGTCCCGGCGACGGATAGTAACTCAAGGCACATTCCTAACAGATACAGTAAGCGACAACTCCTTCCATACCCCGAATGGGATATTTGCCGAGGAACACGCCCCACGGGTCAATGTCAAACAGTATATCCACTCAGCCCGCTTATGTTCCCAATGCGGTAAGCGACGGATGTATGAGAGGCACTTGTGTCTCCGCGCGCGCTAGCGTCTCAGCCCACCTACCGCGAGAACACAATAACCATAGCTGAAAGTGAAGCTATCGCCGATTTGTTTAGCACTACCTAATTCTTCCTTCGGAAAGACAATCAGAACGCTTTATGGAATCGCTGACACGGTATTACTCTACAATCCGGAGTGGGTCTCTCCCTATTTTGACAAAGGTCTACTGCACCATCTAAGATGCGACTTCTCTCTGATAAAAGCCACCCTTGAGCCCGACAAGGCCTTTTCTAACTCTCGAATACTTGTTTCTCTTCGGACAGCACGAGGCCTTGCCAAAATGTCGAAAATAACAATCTTGGGGGCTGGGTATGATCTATTGCCTCGCTGTGACTGAAAACATGCTAATGAATGTATCATAAAGAATTACCGGCATGGGAATTGTAAGTCAATTGCCCAAGAACACCGAGATTACAATCCTAGGTGACTTTTTGCCTGGCGATGCGATGGACCAGCGTTATGTCAGTCAGTGGGCAGGCGCTATCTGGTTGGGTGTTCACGATTCGACTCCGTGGGAGCAGGAGATGCAGTTGAACTCCTTTTCCGAGCTCTGGAGAATTGCAGAGCGACACCCTGAATCTGGCATCCGCCAAGTTGAAATGACTGAGATCATGGATAATGGAGATCCGACAAAAGTATGGTATCAAGGGAAAGTTCCTGGCTTCCGCTTCCTACCTCCTTCGGAACTCCCGAAAGGCGCGAAGTTCGGCATGGTGTTCCAGACTCTTGTTATTACACCTCCTACTTTCCTTTCCTGGTTCCGACAGCACTTGGAGAAACAGGGCGTGAAGTTCCAGCGTACCCATGTTAAATCCTTGCGGGATTTGAGAGGTATGGGACACGACGTTCTGATCAACGCCACTGGGTTCGGTGCTATGAAGCTGCTTGATGTTGAGGAGAAGCGCATCACTCCCGTGCGGCAACAGAATATCAGACTTCGCAAGCATGGTTACAACCGGTGTTATATCCGCCGTGGCCCAGACGGATACTATTCCACGGCATTCGCACGTGGAGATGGCACGATCTATGTGGGCGGGATTAAAACCATGGGTGAGGTCGATTTCGCTTCCTATGAAGATCAACGCAAAAAGGTTAGTCTTGCGTCCTTGATTGTGGTCTAAGTTTGAGTACTTACCAGATAAAATTTTAGATTATGCAACGTCAGCACGATAATCAGCCAGATGTATTCCCTTCACCCAACCCCCTGGACTACGACTTTATTACAGACCATGTGGGTGTGTTTCCCGTTATTGAGCATCAAAACGGCGGCATTCGGGTCGAGAAGCAAGTCCTTCATGGGCAGAAGGTTATACATGCGTATGGACAGGAAGCTGGTGGTTATACCTTCAGCTTTGGCCTTGGCCAGCAGGTGTCGAAATACGTACAGGAATATTTGACCGAGCTCCCGAAAGCCGCAGAGACGCCTATTCCTAGTAAGCTATGAATTTCCATTTGTTGAATGGAGAACCTGCAGGATGTATTTTTGAATATATGAATGAACTCGAAATCTTGAAGTGTTACCTCCATTTGTCGGTCTTGGTATCTCAGGTGCAAAAGCAAGTTCCTCTCCTGGTGCACACTAGAACTGGTGGATACCCTGTAAATTAATTCAAAATCTGGCAATTTATCATGGCGCACTGATCGATTTAATATGCACTTTTTTGCGGGTTTTCTCATGCAGGGGGGCCATGTGGCAATTAGGGTAAACGCCCTGTAATACGCGTATGCAGCTGATCTCCTCATTTGCTACATATCGCGGTCCATTGGTGAAATTAGATACCATCGGTCACGGTGATAAGAACTATCCCCACATTTCGTTGATACTCAACTTTCTTGCTTATAGTATACTAAGACAATAATTTGCTATGATATCAAGACTTCTTGTGCTTTATGGAGTAGACTTGCACCGATGTCATTCACACACAAAATGGATTTTCTTCTTTGCCTGGATGCCCTCTCTGGATTGTGCATGGACACGCAATTAAGCATTTACATTCAAACTAACTCGAGGTTTCACATAGCTCGTTCGACTGAGGCTCATTCTCGTGAACTTCAAACTGGTATCGCGCTCGCGAGAACCAATCAACCAATCCATATACTAGAGCTATGCCATAGATCACTGTGACATAATTCATGCCTTGAAAGATAATGGTCAGTTTAGTGTGTTTGAAATGCTTAGGTAGTGGGAGACGTACTTGATGGGGTGACGGGCATCACATATGGGAACGAATACATGATGATCGTGAAAATACAGAAGACCACCGTTACCATTTTGGAAATGACGCCTATAATTCCGAGGTGGAACGGTCCACGTGCTTGATTTTCGCCTCTCCAAATTGAGCAGATCATTGGGGCCAGATAGGTCAGATATGGGAATACAATGACGCCAGTCACCAGACTATTGAATGAGTCAGCTATCGGTTCTAAAAACAAGCAAAATCGTTTGAAGGGCTCACCTATTGAAAGCAGTACTAGACGCAATGTTAATGAGCCCAATTGCAAAAACTATACACACAGAAAGTATGTGAGCTCGGAGTGGAACGTGTGTTGAAGGATCGATATGCGACCAGTATTTTGAAAAGGGCATCCCATTATCCCGAGAGAAAGCCCAACACATTCTAGCTTGGTAGGCATGTTGCGGAAAAAGAGAAAAAAGGTAAGCCACGGTCACAAACGCCATGGTTGCTAATGCCGCTGGCTGGCGGTTCCCAAACGCAACGTAGAAAAGCTGAAGAATGGGAACATTTGTCGGGGTGTTGACAACACTCTCAAAGTCGGTTAGGCAGTACATCAAGACACACGCAAACGGAAACGCAGTCAAAAATCCTACAATGACTGTCGCCATGATCGCCTTAGGCACGTTTCGTTCAGGATTTGGTGTTTCCTCTGCGAGATGTGCCGCACTATCAAGCACCGCAAATGAGAAGTTAGCGTTGATCAAGCCCATAATAAATGCCATGCCATCAGAAGACCAGCCATTGCTTCGATTTAAGGTGCCGAATATGAATATGGCATCAGTGTGGTCAACTGCAGTTGCAGGAAGGACAATTGTGATGAGAACGCAGGTCAGAAGACTGATGTAAAGTCCCATCAGGACGCTCTTGGTGACAGCCTTCTCCCATATGTTTATCACACCGGCAACAATGTTAAGGGCAACAGCTCCAAGGTAAACACGCCACGGAGAAAGTACGCTAGAAAATTCGTTAGACTATGATTGCGGGGTTTGAGAGTATCGGATTTCGCTGATAAAAGAAGCCCAAACTCACAAGGTCGGTACAGCCATTTTAACGCATCCAAAGACAAACATGCTGACAGCGGTTGATGAACTCGCTGTGATGCAATAGGCGGCAAATAAATTGCAGACACCTGTAATATAGGCAAATGACCGGGCATATTTGCGCGGTGCCAGTCTCATTGCCCAATAGTATTGCCCTCCCGAATTGGGCATTGCGCTGATCAATTCACTCAACGCAATTCCTACAAAGAGGTTGAGGACGAACATCAAAATCAGACCGTAAATGATTCCAGCAGAGCCCGCTGCGGTGATCCCCGTGGTAAATGCTCCAGCCACTCCCAACCATGAGTTTGTCAGGGTATATGCGCTACCAACCAACTGTATCAGACTAAACTCTCGTTTCATCTGAGGCACGTAGCCCATCTCTAGTAGGTGACGTTAGTCTAGTGCTTAATTTGAAAAGAATGGCCCATTCTTCCAGAATGAAGTGGATTTGGCGTACGCTCTAGCTTAAGGTCATCCATGGTGCCAGCTACCGGTTCGGGATCTGCTACTCCATCCTTCCCATCAATCATCGACGAGTCATCGGTAATCTTTTTCTCTGGGTAAGGAGGAACAGGGTTGGCCATGTTGTCGTTGTGGGTTATTTAACCCTGATTGTGGTAGTCAAGTCAAGAAAAGAATATATTGCCTTAGTCAACAGAAGATACCTGCGACAGGAATTTCACACGTCAGGAATTCTTCCTTTCGCTCTGGATGGTGTCATGAAATTTCGCAACGTATGCGAGAACACTCAGTGGGACCTTGTGAATTGGACTTCATATGTAGGACAGCAACAAGCCTACTTATATAAAATATAATTTCATCCATTTACCAACCCGCTGGATGCAAACCTAACGGAAGAACAAGTTTTGTGGGGAAGGGGGGGGACCCGAAACTTTCACAAAGATATGACAAAATCTCGCTTCCATTCCCAATATGGAATATGTGAAGCCTAAAACGGTAAAGGAGAACTAGCCACGAGGCTTCAGGGATTAATGGCGCTAGCAAACTATGATATGAACTATATTTCCCGTAACTCCGGAACCCGTGTCGACGCCCAAAACGGCAATTTTTAGGGCCGGGAGGGGTCTGACACTCTTGTTGGCTAAATATGCCCACTGTGAAGTGAATAGTTTTGTTATCACTACCTCGGTCATAGCCTTTCTCGACTCGACCATTGGTGGCCTTGGCCGGTCATGCTGCTCGCGTTATGGACGACCAGACGACTCCACACATTACCAAGCTAGATAGAGATAAGGTGAGAGCACACCGTCGATTATAACGGAGTGCCTTACACTCCAGATAGATAGCGCTCAATGATGCTAACGTACTTGGGTAATCAAAGTAGACAAAATTATCCACTGTTTGTCGCTTAAAATTCTGAACGCACGCTTCCGAATAGATTGGCTTGTTCTGGGTATTCGTAACATCATCTATTTGGATGTCAGAGTGGAAGAGGGGGTGTGAGGTGAAGGCACCCATGCGGTCGATTTTCCCCCAGACTTGCTCTTGGGGTTGAGGGAACTCAAGCCAAGGGGCTATGCGCTTAGTTTAAAGTCGGTTCACTAGGCTGGTTGCATCGTCCTAGATCGTGAGGGTCGCATCCGTCTCAGCTGGGACCCCTTGAGATAAAGAGTTGTGGCATCAATGGAGAAGGCGAAACAGTGTGTTGGGTGCACTCGCCGCTCTGCCTCTTCTCGCGCCCGTCTTCATCTAATCCTATTATCCTTAATGATAATAATAACCTAGAAGTCATTAGAATTGACTAAGTGAGTGTGTTTTCCTTTTTACCCCTTTATATCTCCTACCTAAATACCCTCCCTAGTCGTATAGGGCCTATATACGCCACCTAAGCAAAACTTGCACTTTTATGTGGTGTTTAGGATAAGTAGCCTTTAGAGTGAAACCTAGTAAGCTGTAAAGGTGGATAGTCATGTGTGAAGGCATTAAATTATATAGAATACATACTCTAGCATTGCATGATTATGTTAGTGGGGATTACTATTTTCTGCATGGCAGAAACCCCATTGTCAAAAAGAACTCACTTCGGGTGCCGTACTCCTACCCATATGCACATATCCAGGCATTATTCATCAGGCGTCAATACTGTTGACATATGGGCATGCACCATAGCCACCCGTTTGAGAAGAAAGCAGAAGAAACATGATATAAATCACTGGCACCGTGTCAAATTTTCCAAATTTCCCATCCCGCTGCTTTTTTTTTCAAGAACCTTCTCTATCACCCCCATATACTTAAATTTAACTTAAGTCCCAGTGAGACCTGTCGTTTTACCCAACTGATACATGGCCCATCTTGCAGGTAGTGCACACATCCACGGAAGACCTAGGCTTCTGTCGCAACCGCGTCTGGGCAATAGCTAAGAGCCTACTAGGAGTTGCTGGACAATCCCCGAAATTATTCCCTCCAGGGGAAAGCTTATCCTACAAAGCAAAAAGGAAAAACTATAAGCAGTCTCGGGTCATTTTCACTCTGGTGAAGCAGAGTCACGAAACGTCCTGTGTGGCGAACCGCTGTCCTCTTACTAAATTCCCTTTGGTGCTTGTGGTAGATGCTATCCGCAAAGAGCAACCCATAGTCTGGGACTTTGACGGAAATAAGACTCTTCAACGCAACGAGCGGTATATGGCAATCTCTCATATATAGTCTGATGGTATGGGGGCGGGAAGTCAGCCACCCGGTCATGTGAACAGCTACTTGCTATAGTTCTTTCGGGGCTTTGGTTAGATGTTCAACCATAAGGGTCTATGGTGGGATACAATCTTTATTACAATAAAGAAAGACCTTCGTGAAAAGGCCGTACAATCTATGTAGCAAATCTACACGGCCACGGCGGTCACACTAGTTGTATAACATACAATTATCGGCGCATTTTGCCTTCTACAGTTTCGGCCCCTAGTATCGAAATTATTCTATAGACGATTCAACCCTGAGTGGACGGGAAGCTATAGTTTCCACGTGTATGATATAGTATAAGACGTAAAAATACATTTATGTCAAAATCGACATCCATGACTATTCTACCCGAGAAAATGTTCATCCATCCGATCCCTTCTAAACAAATTGTAAACAGCCCGGGTACGGGGGCTTCCCGGGCGCTCACTAAACATGCGGTATGGCCGAGTTCGGTCTCGGGACTGGCGGGCCTCTAATCAAGATTGTGAAAAGGTCTGGTTTTGCACTACTACATCTTTCCATGTATTTGATCTATTATACCCAAAGTGGCCATTCACAATCTTGCCTTTTCCATGACAGGATAATTGTCCATAATTTTGGACGATTTTGGCTGCGAAAACATAGAGGTGGATAGCGCACGTCTTGACGGAATCAACTTGGCCTCCGCAATACGCTCAAGGGCGATGATATGACCTTTTCCAACCGGAATCTCTTCTTGAAACCCAACACCTCGAATCTTGTCAAGACACATCTCCCGATCGCGGTCAAGAAGAGTAAAGCCAGCCTTCAGGAAAATCCACGACGAAGGAGGAACAAAACGGTGCTCCAGGCCGTAGGCTTTACACATCCGCCGGTAGTCATCTTGATGCTCATTCCACCACTCTTCGAGATTTTCCCAGCCCCTCTCTCCGGGACCAGTTCCCTTGAGACCGAAGTATTCAGCTAATATCGGCCATTTAACGGACCACGGTCCCGGCACATCAGTGTCAGCGATATTGAAGGCTTCACCATTAGCCTGCTCCGGCTGAACTACCGAGAGATAAATTTCAGATTTTGAAATCAGATCTTGGGACGAGTCTGTGAAGGTGTAGGTGAAATTGGTCTTTGTACCAGGGAAGACAACGCTTGCACCCGGGCCGTTGACGAATCGGTAGAGAGCGAGGTATAGAGCCAATGGCTCGACGAAGTTCATGCCAGTAACATTAGGAACAAACCCTAAATAAATTTTAATGTAAGAAAGATACACCAATGCCTGTTGGACTGAAATTAAGGTAGGGGGGTGACTCACCAATGATTTGGTCAGGTCGAACCTCACACCACTTCCATGATTTGCCCTTGGCAGCCTCCTTTATCAAATCCACTTGATCGTAGTAGAAAATTTCATCTCCGTAAGGCGAAGGAATTCGGGGATTATCTTCCCTTAGAGGAGGGTTGATCTCAATCTTGTCGATGTACTGGAACACCGCAACCCCATAGTTCTACCGCAGTCAGTATAGATTATGATGAATCATGGGAGGGGTCCTACATTAGTCCCAGTCTGCAGAACTAAGAATTGAAGTTGCGAGCACAGCGTATCAATCGCGTGGACAGCATTATACGTCATTTGCTTATTGATGTCCCTAATACCCATCACATTTTCGGTGTACGCGGTATCATTTGTGTACGCTATTGTTGGTGAGGATTTAGTTATTATGCGGGGCCAATTTGATGTGTAATGTAACTTGTATCACATACCAAGGTAGTAGACGTGGGTGACTTGATCTAGGTCTGAAATCCGCTCCTGCATCTGCTTCTTCACAGTTTGGAGGTCCGTACGGAGATCCACTCCTGAGTACAGCTCCAGTCGGGGATCTCGAGGCAGGCCGCTCTCAGCAATCGTCCGTGGACGATGCATCAAACCAATAATTCGATCAAACGTGGTAGCAGTTGGATAGGACAGCAAATTTTTGGTCACGGCCCATCCGGAGATTCCACTGGCACCAAAGACCAGCGCTACTTTCTTCCCATCGGTCATTATGAAAATTGATTTCAACTAAGCGAATCGAAAGGAGAAATTGAAAATAAAGCACAAGTAATAGACGTGCCTGGCATCATCATCAATCTCCTATTCTATAGAGCCACTACCGAGGCTATAGAGCCACTACCGAGGGGTTAGCTAGAAATATTTTCTAGGTGACACGCGTCCAATTTCCAAGGCAGCGGCACAGGATTCGCCTATCTAATTGGACTATGAAGTAAGCGAAGAAAGAACCGACGCTAGCAACAATAAACGAAGATGATCGTCGTTGAAGTCTTCCTGACAAGTTGGGGGCCGAGTGATAACTCCAACGTTCCAAAATTGATCGGTAGCTCAACTGTAGTCAAATCGTGCTTTATCCTAGAGTGTTAAAAAAAAGGAGACGCGCATCGGTTCATGTTATACGACTCGAATCGATGGGTGGACCCATACAGTGTCCCGTGTCTGGGGCCGCTCCCCGCGGGGGGCTCAAGCGCCATGACACAGACCCACTGCATGTTCCCCCATTTCCCATTTGGCCTTTTGTGATATGGATTTGACAGGGCGGGTTTGCTATACCCCACTTAATGAAGTGTTGTTGTAGCCCAAACTCCCAGCAGCGGAAGTGGAAATAAGGGGATTCGGATATATCATCCGAGACCGACTATCTTTGCGACGTTGCTTGACCATTTCAAATTTTGGAGACCATGAAAAGGTATCATATTGGATGGTTCAATTTAATTGGATTAGGCCGTACGGGTGCGTGGATTTTCGAATCACTATGGGCTTTTTACTGTTTCGACTCGAGGTATCCGGTCTACCCTTGTCAAGCTGACCTTTTCCATATTGTTAAATGTCCGGCGTTTAGCGTCGGGGTAAAAAGTACATAAACTCCCGGACAAGGATTACTTTTATGTATAAAAGGGATCAATTCATTTTTGTACGAGGTAGGGATCCTTGGTGGGTATTCCAGGGATTAGACGGCATAATAAGTGGACATGGAGCTCCACTCCAGGTTTGATAGTAAATAGTATACAATTTGACTCATCGATCTGAGCAGTTTTGGATCTTTAATACACTCGCCAGAAATACGATGAGCAATGGATGGGAATGTACTTGGCAAAAAAGAAAGGAGCATGGGGAGTAGTTATAAGAAACAAGAATGGAAAGCTGGGTGGCTCTTTGTGGTACCACCTTTTTCAATGAATGCTCCAGAGTTCAATGTTTTTATCTATCATTTGTCTAATCGTGAGATACCAGCTTCAGTCTTATTACACTCCCCAAAAATAAGATGGAATTCTTCATGTTGAAGCGCGCGGGTATTGAATCAGGGACCCAACAAGCTTCAGTCTTTGGCGTGGGAATAAGCTTCATAGTTTTCACTTCAATCGTCATGGTTCTACGAATGTTTGTGCGAATTAAAATTATTCGAGCCGTTGGAAGTGATGACGGTATGGTTTTCGCCATGTTTGATGGAGTATTGCATTGAGGCTAACAATCTTCCTTGGAAGTTTTGATGATTCTGGGCACTGTAAGTGAACGTCACTCCTCTGGATAGGCGTTATTGACGAATAAATCTACGACAGCTTTTTACCTTCGGTTTGTCCATTGCCTCAATGACAGGTATGGATACAATCCTAGTTTTACTGAATAGCCACTGATGTGAATTCAGCGGCGTACTATGGAGCCGGGAAGCATCGTGCGTTTTATTACCATCAAAGTCAACATACAGCAGACCAATACTAATTCTGTGCCCACACAGTCAGCGCTATTGCTGATGAAGACTATGTTCCAATGTTAAAGGTAATATTGGTATTTCTGCGGATATTGATTGCGGACGAAGTTGTCTAACATCTCATTCATTACCTTCAGTCCATCTACTCGACTCGGATACTGTATGTGATAGGAATCATGTTTGTCAAGCTCTCCTTGCTCTGGTTCTATCTCCGGCTTGATCGTCGCGGATACATGAAATGGGCAGTATATGTCTTGACATTTGTGGTGTTGGGGTTGTCAATTGCCAGTGGCTTGGTTCTCGCCTTTTCCTGTTTCCCGCCTGCCAAGTTCTGGGACCTAACTGGGGCTGTTGTCGGACACTGCATGTCGCCTACCTCCCAGCAAACCTTTTATGAGGCTAATGGTGTCCTCAATATTGTGACCGACATACTGATCTACCTAACTCCGATTCCTATGTTGTGGAAGGTGCAAATGCCTTTGGTTCGTTTTGACCAATATCCACCTAAATTTATAAGGAAGCCGCTTACACTTCGCAGCGCAAAAAGCTTGCTCTCATGGGAGTCTTTGGAATTGGAGTTCTCGCTCTTGCCGGTAAGAGTCATTGGAAGCGCTTTAAATCAAGAGACACTAATTTTTTTTTTCTAGCCGGTTGCGTGCGATATGCCTATGTCAAGCTGCTAGCTGGTACCAAAGACCAGTACTATGAGCTCGCTGATTCCTTGAACTGGTGCGGTATTGAGATTTACGTTGGTTAGTAGTTATCAATGACATAACGAACAAACACCCTGTTATCAAATTCGTACTGATGATGGTCATTATTCTAGCCATTTGTTGCGGAACTGCACCTTCTTTCTCAGCGCTCATCAAAACTTACGCCCCCCGTCTTTTTGGGGGCAGTTATGGCGGCCAAAGATACCAGTCTTATAGCCACTCTCATGGAGATCAGCCCCTGCCATTCATTCCAGATCGTTCAAAGCACGACTGGTCGGTTCACGGTAGAGATAAGTCTACCATACATACTGGAAGCCAGGACGCCATTGTGCCTAATGGTGGAATCATGATGAAAACGGATTTTCATACGGAGGTGGGGCCATCTGATCTAGAGGAAAATCACGTGCGCAGAAACAATTATGATGGAGGGTTCTAAAAATTGCAATTAGTATAAACGCGGGACACATAGTATATCATACAGCATAGATGAATGAATGGGCCTCTGCACCACATTCATGTCGCGGGAAAAGAGCTTCCTAACTCTCCAATACTAGGGTCCTGAGATTCGTGGTCTTTTCTCTTACCATCTTTCACATCCAAACGCTTATTTCTTCATATTAGGATATTCACATATGAGTTGCAAATATCTCTACCCATCTAGGACAAATAACGAGCCTAGTCCCAATCTCAGGCCCTATTAGCGGCGGTGAACACCTGGACATAGTATATCCGGTGATGAGGACGCAAAACCGGGTTACCTCGACGCAGGATCCGGAACTGTCCAAGCATTGTACATTCTGCTGGAATCATTGTAAAGAGGGACAAGCCGAGACAGAGACCATAGGTTAGATTGAACAAATGACTGGGGAGAGAGGGGAGAGAGGAAGGGGGATCAGCTAGGTAAGGAGCAGAGGTTCTATAGGCCTTGGGCAGTAAGGCAGCCTTAACAGTAGAGCCCAAATAGAGATTTTTCACGATTCGGGTATCGGGAAGTGTTCTTTTTTTGCATCGATTATAGATCTACAGATATAATGTCCTTAGTATGTAATATCTTATAGTGGGTGTGGTAATGACGTCAGTGTGGATTCTTCCCTGTTAATTTCCTTTTTCAAGGGTTTTCGTGGACCTTCAGTCCTTTAGATAAATTGATCGTCACCACAATTTGTTTTTGTAGACTTTCTTTTTCTTATATACTCCGTACCCGAGGACCTGTTCAAGGTCTCCCTGTCGACTGTTGTGTGTTTGCTTTGTGGGCGTTTCACTTATCATTGTACCCTTTTACGTACATACTTGGATACAATGAGGTCCATTCTTGCACATACCCTTGTGCAGGCCTCTCTTCTCTCCATTACCTCCGCTTCCCCAGCTCCAACAGCTTTCGCCAACAATGTCGCCCCGGCCGACCCGGTCATTACGCCATCCCCGGTCGAGCGTAACCCTTCTCCCGTCGTTGCCCGAAACATATTGAGCGACGTTGAATCTGATGCCGCCAACATCCTTTCAGACCTTGGATCTGGCCTACCTTCTTGGGTCGCATCTGGAGTGCCCAACTTCTTTCAGGGTTTCCCAACTGGAGACGCGGTTATGAAATCCCTCGGATTGGACGACGACCAATTGAAAGCATTGCCAACCAATGTGTTGAACATCCCCCCATATGCAAACTGGACCAAGTCAGGCTGGAATGTTCGCTTCCACGGAAACGTTTATAAGCAGCCAGACACCTCTGTCTCAAAGTTGAACGACTTGGCCGATATTTTCCTCGTCGATACGAGCATCTCAGAGCTTCCTAAATCCCAGCAGGCCCAAGCACGCAATGTAACTGCCGAAATCTTTGTTGTACAGCAGCCAGAAGTTGCTGTGAACAAGATCCACCTCAACCCTGCAAAGAGTCAGGGCTCCAGCGGAGAGCCAGGCGGCGGCGGATCATCCAAGACAACGGGTGGAAAGCAAGTCATCACTCTACCATACAATACCACAGTCGAGGGTGATTTCGACACTTTTGTGCAGATTGACAGCAATGGCCTTACTGCGGGAAATGAAACCAAAAAAATCCAGAGATTGGATACTCATGTTCAGGGCGCAAGCATCGGGAATTCTACCGCCTACCTTGTGCCTCCAAAAGGACTCACCTTTATTTCTGACGTCGACGATATTCTACGTGTCACCAAGATCTATCAACCGGCACAAGGATTGCTGAATTCTTTCGCCCGTCCATTCACGGCCTGGCAGAAGATGCCAGAAATCTACAGCAACTGGTCCACCAGCCTCCCCGATGCGCATTTCCACTACCTTGTAAGTCTCTAGTTCCCGCTTTGGCGTTCAAAATACTAACACTCATTTCAGACTACTACCCCCGAGCAAGTCACGAGGAACTACATGGAATTCATCTACGATAACTACCCAGGCGGCTCCTTCGACACCCGTCCTCTCAACTTCAGCGACGTCTCCGCCACTCTATCAATCCGCAAGTTCTTATTGGAAAAGATCTTCGAAACCTTCCCAGAGCGCAAGTTTGTTTTGGTGGCCGACACCAGCAACAGCGATGTCATGCGCGATTACCCCAAACTAGCCACCGACTTCCCCGGACAAGTCCAATGCATCTTCATCCGCAACACCTCGGCAACCGATCCGGGCGACAAGTTCCCATACGACACGTCCGGATTCAAGAAGTTGAAGCAGTCGATGTACATGTTCTTTGTGAACTCGGATGACCTGAAGAACTTGGATATTGCGAATGGACAGTGCTACAACCAGTCGATCCCCCAAAACCTGACGTTCGGCTATCAAGGACTGCCACTTGGATTAGGGAGTAAACCAACTGCAGTCAACGGCTCAGCAAACCACACGGGAGCTGCTAGTAGCCTGTTGACCAAGGAATCGGCTGGTGTGCAGGGTTTGATGGCATTTGCTGCAGCGATGTTTACGGCCACCATTATGTTCTTATAGAATCATGGAGATACAAGTAATACTACGAACTAAATGAATCATTTATTTCAAGTTTTAGCCTACTTCCATTATATTCCCCTCTGCCACACATAGGATATGGAAAACATAGGTTCCCGTCCGCTCACCTGTACAATATGGCTATCTATGGATGTATCGCATCTTGGTGTAAGCGACCGGATACCAACCACCACCATTACCACTACAGCTCTTAATTAAGGGATATACGAAATAACAACAAATGTTGTTCAACTACTTTATTAGCAAATTTACTTTCAAGCGCAATAGGTAGATATATATTCTGCATAAAAACACCAAAACCAACAAAGAGAACAATCAAATCAAATCAAGGGTCAAATCTGAAGCTCAAAAAGACAGAGAATCCGATACCTAATGTCGATGAACCGGGCAATCATGGAAATCATCTCCTGGTCCATAATCCTCTCTCCTACTATGCTTATAGCAGTTCATAAAATGCTTATATTTCCCGTCTTCGAGCAGTCTCTTACGCTCAAGTCGAAGGATCAGGTAACAAGCCCAGAGTTGGCAGCTCTGTAGTGGGATCTTCTCAGCCTCTCTCTCGACAATCCAACTATCGGCCTCATGAATCGTACCGAGATAGTGTGTGCTCGCGACTGTATAGCTATCAAATCTCTTGTCATCTTCTATAGCCAATTGACGATGACCCATGCAGCCAACGCTGTGGAGGCGCATGCCACGCTCATCACCTGGATACTTCATGAATATCAACCAATGGATGGCACCTTCATCCTCATGGCAGATTTGAACGTACAGTTCACGGTGCTTGTAATCGATTTGCCCTTGGGGTGTGTTGTCTCTGTGGCTGTGTCCCTGGCTGTGTCCGTGACCATGACCGTGAGTGTGTCGGTGTCCATGTCCATGTCCGTGGCCGTGGTTGTGACCGTGTCTGGGTGGTCCTCGGTTAGCCATGGTTGCGATATGGAAGGTTGCTAGGGTAAATATCTGTAGAAGAATGTGAATATGTGACTATAAGTCAAGGTAATGGACATAGGATGTTGAAGATGCTTTGAGTGTGGAGATTGTTTGCTGTGATGATTGAGCTTATTCTGGAGGACTTGATTGTTCTTATAGACATCGCTCGAGTCCATCGATTCTTGGTTTATACAATAAGTTAGTAAAAATCCTTTGTTTAGTGTAGATTAATAAAGCCTCTTTGTCACGGGAATTCATTTGCAGGGTGTTTCTATACTCTCTTTCACTGGCCTGAAATAGGCACCATTACATTTTTCTGAATTAGATGACATTGTGGCTTTGTTAAAGGAATTGAAAGGAAATTTTTCTTATGAGGTAGAATAAGTCGAAATACTAGTCAATAGTACAACTTTGGAGTAAGTTGTCATATGACTGAGTACAAGACGCATTTGAGCAATGTTTTCAAAACAGGATAAAGTGATGCTCAAGCAAGCGACCTTTGATTATGTGACAGAAATCCGACTGTATCAAAATGTATGATGGAATTCAGTATGATGAAACTCCCTGGCTAACCAAAAATGATCAACCCACAAGTCAATAGTCAATAACTAATCAATAATACACTTTTCTCTGGGTTCTCTGAACACGACATCCGACGAGATTCTGGGTCAATTAATTACCCTGTATCCGATGGGGTGGTTGTGTTCTGTTTATGACCGGGTATTGGTATTTGACTCCCATCTACTTTGAGATTTGCAGTCGTGCCTCATATAATATAGAGTATGCTATGCCATGCAATCGTGTCAAAGAATACCACATGTGCCCTTATACGTGTCAATGAGGCAACCATTTTCTTATCGTAATTTCTTTGTCCGCCCATCCATGTGGTGGATCCTGCCCTCTCCACAGTTCTATGCAAAATGAACCAGGCTAACGACAATCAATGGTACCAGATTCAGAATTAAGTCACTAACGGGTTACCATCAAAAGAGAAGCAGAAAGCAGAAAGACTCATGTGTTAAGTATATCCTTTGCTGCCTTCCACCCGGGTAAGCTGTAGGAGTGTATATTATTAATCTATATCTGATCGGGATGAAAGATATCAGTCACCTGAACGAAAACAGAGGTTGGTTTGGTAAAAGGTGCAGAAATAGAGGATTTGAGAGATGCAGCTCTTGAATTTAAAGGCTTCAACAGCTGTGTCAAATACCGAATCCAAATCTCCGGTCACATACAGAACAATACCACCCGATACGGGGTAATTTACACAGAATCTCAGACGTCGGGGCAACTACCAACGTGCAGTATTGACTGGCTATTTAAGTTCGCACGCTTATCCTGTTTTGTTGCTAGAGAGTTTCATGAATTTCACCATCCATTTTGATACAGTCAGCTTTCTGTCAAATAGACCTAGACTAATACGGGAACCATGCTAATAGTACCCACCCCGCACCTTGAGGTGAAAAGGGGTCTCGCATTCCACATTCAATAGCGAAGTAGTATACAGCAGATCCTACGACTGCTCCAGAAAGTCTGCTTCAATCAACTTCGTCCAATTGTTTATTCCGCCATGGGGGTAGCCTTCTTATCCAATCAGGCTATGACCCTTCTCTGCGGTCTCTTGGGCCTCTACATCTTCAGGGTTATCACGACGTATGCCAAGTTGATGCAGTTCAAAGGCCCATCGGGAACTGGAATCTCGAACTGGCCTCACAGCATGGCCATACTTGGGCGAAATTGTCACGAGTGGTATGCAGAAGTCAACAAGAAACATGGTGCGAGACATCTTTTATGATTTTGTATCCCTACCAAGTGTCATATCTACTATAACTAACATCCTCGACTCGAGACAGGTCCAATCGCCCGTGTCGCGCCTCACGTACTGATCACATCCTCTCCCGAAGTTTGGATGCACGTGAACAACAAGCCTGGCTACAAGCGATCCGATTGGTATTACAGAGCTACACGAATCGAGTACCGGAGGGACAATGTCTTCAGTCAAACGGATAACGCAAAACACGAGCAACGGAGGAAGCAGATGGCCCCAGGAGTATGATATCTGTCTCATTTCTCTCCGATCCCCACTCTGTTCCCGCCCATTTATACCGGCATAGCCTGCTAATCGAATATCGTTATAAAGTATTCGGGAAGGGAGAATACCGGGCTCGAGGGGTCCGTGAATGAAAGAGTCCAAGAATTCCTGGGCCTCATCCGGTCCAAATATATCTCGTCCGACCGCCATGTTGTGCCCATGGATCTAGCGAAGAAGGTCCAGTATTTTACACTCGACGTCATTAGCAGCGTTGGCCTCGGTAAGGCGTTCGGTATGTTGCAGAGTGACCATGACGTGGACGACTATCTCCAATCGAGCGAAGAGGGACTTGCCATCGGCAATACCGCCCTTGCCATGGGCCTGGCCTGGATCACCCAGATGCCCTTCATCGGCAGGTTTATTGCACCTTCACCCAAGGATAACAACGGCTTCGGTAAGATGATGGCTACATGCTTCCGTCTTGTCGACGAGCGCGCTGCGAGCTCCTCGAACGAAAGATCCGATATGTTAGCCTCCTTCATGCGCCACGGCTTAGCAGGTGACGAGCTGCGCACTGAGGCGCTAGAGCAAATCATTGCGGGCTCTGACACCACTGCCAGCGCCATCCGTGGCACCCTTCTGTACCTCATAACGAATCCCCGCGTCTACTTCAAGTTACAGTTCGAGGTTGACAATGCCGTGCGTGACGGTCGTGCTCCAAGTACAGGCGAAGGCCTTGTTACTGCTGCCCAGGCTAAAAGTCTTCCATATCTTCAGGCTGTGATCCGAGAAGGGTTACGAGTCGCGCCACCTGTTGCGAACATTTTCCCACGTGATGTCCCGGCAGGTGGTGACACTGTTGTTGTCGATGGCGAGAGTGTATTCTTACCAGGTGGTACTTACATCGGGTACTCAGCATATGCTATGCATCGGAGCGAGAAGATCTATGGCAAAGATGCAGACACTTACCGACCAGAGCGGTGGCTCGACTCGGACCCTGTCAAGTTGGCGGCCATGGTTCGGACCAACGACCTCATATTCGGTTATGGCAAATTCCAGTGTTTAGGGAAGCCAGTGGCCCAAATCGAGATCGGAAAGATGATATTCGAGGTCAGTGAAAACAGCTCTACATGTCTTGGTTTTGGCTTCTTTTTTCGATTACACGTTAACTGACCGCCGACTGGACACAGCTCTTACGCAACTTCGACCTGGCACTCATCAATCCGACGCATCCCTGGGATGCGCGGAACTACCTTGGACTTTTCGCTATTTCAGATATGTGGGTGCAAGTGACGGAGCGAATGCCCTCTTCTCCTTGACTGAGTACGGTAGGTTTTTTGAGTCCATCCCGCCAACCGGGCTTTTCATCGGAAGGTTAGCGAGCTGCCATCAACATTTTATGTAGTCTCTTAAACGTCTAGAAATAGCTCATGTCAACGGTGTCCGACTAACAACATCATGGGATAGTTAGCCGTCATATTCTAAAAGACCCCAGAAAAGACCTTAAAAAGACCGATAGAAAGATGATAACAAAGTGGTTTTTATAGTAGCGCTAGACTTTCTCCACGGGATGTACGAGCGATTTAGACATCATAGATGTTTTGAAGTATGCAATATAGCGAGTACATGAAATTATTGCTTGAAAATTGAGGAATAATCTCATGCCTATGAGGGCTTGTACGTGGTAGGTTGGCGGGATGGACCCAAAAAACCCGCCGTAGACCGGATAGAGAACAGTTTCCGTGAAATGCGTATCGCTTCGACGAAGGATCAAGGTAAATTAAGTCATCCTTTCATATTATATACCTATTATACAACCACTGGCTCGTTGTCTTGTTTCGTAGATGAAGTTGGGGCCACAGGGACGTCAGCACATTCGACTTGAACAATCCGATGCTCAATCTCCCCATCGGAAGCCCCAATCACAACCGCACTCAATTGATTGCCATATAAACACCCAGAATCCAGTCCAATTGCATACCTGCTTCGCTGCAAACGACGCTTTGCATCGTGCCCGAATATCACAGTAGTCTTGGATGGTAGCTTATCTTGCCACTGGTCCCATTTTTTAACCCAGCTTTCTTCCCCGGGACTTTCAGTCGGTTTGAATCCTTCCTCATCGCCCAATGTGCGGACAAGACTCCGCATATGTATCAAATCATAAGGATTCTGGTCTTCAAGTGGGATACTAGGAGCGAGGCCCGCATGTACGACAATTAGAGTGTCACCAAGGGTGGATGTTATGTCTTGAGGCAGCTTAACACGCAAGATCAAAGGCAAAGCAGCAAGCCAGACGATCTGGTGCTCTGAAAGCGCTAATGCCGTAGCGCGCGTTGTAGGGGATGCGCATTTTTTGGGAATCTCGCAATCTCGAACAGTATCCCCGGGCAAGTCGGCTTCGGGGCTCTCAGGTACGGCTGAACTGCCAGTCAAGTCTCTAGAACATGGTGGTCTATCTCCTATGGCTTTGATCTCCGTGGCTGCATTAAGAACTGCATTTTCATGGTTGCCTCTCACTGCACTAGCGCCTAATTTGATAGCAAGATCGACAACGCCAGGGCTATCAGGCCCTTTATTGACTAGGTCGCCAACTAGTATGAGGTGATCTCCTGTGTGCTTGTTAAAGCCGACCTTTTCTAGGAGTGCCTCAAGAGACTTTCTCATCCCGTGCACATCACCTACAATGACCAAGCGTCCATTGACAGGGCCATTTTCGGAAGATGATAAAGGGGACTGCGGAAGAAGGTTGGCCGGTAGGTCTGAAATGAAAGTTGTGATTGGAAATATTTTGGTGGATTTTGTAGAGGGCATTGCTTTTTAGACTTCGAGCATGTCTTTATCTGGAGTAAGAGGGAAGACGGAGATGCGAGTGCCGTGTGGGTGTGGGATATGCGGAATAGCGTACGTGCGTGGCTGCCTTGGTGCCTGAGGCATAATATTCCCGTTTGTCAGGAACCATTATTTTCTGCTTTATCTGAGCTAATTGCGAGCTTAGCTCTAACATTTTAAAGTCTTATTACTCTTATCGGGTGTAGTGAAATTATATGTACAAGAGCCTATAAAGGCGTAATTATGTAGAGACGACCATCTCAGTTCGATCTAAGATTCAGGAGCACCATCCCCGACCTGGCTGCCGGTGGTATAGTTACCAAAGCATGCCTTTTGGAACTGCGCCTTGTCCTTCAGGGTGGGCACGCCACGCAAAAACTTATTAAGCTGGCAGAAACCATTGGTGGAATCCTCACAACCGACAAGTCCATCTTGTGGGAGAGGAGAATTGTTGAGCACAAAACGAATGAACTTCGTGGTGTTGACAGTAGACTTGACGGTAGGGTTGGTGTAGAGAACAGGGTCCAAAGAATCAAATGACACGTCACGAGGGCAGGTCCAGATTTCAGACATGAATCGGGCACCAAATGGTGTCATCTGGCTGAGAGAGAAGTTGCGCTCAGGTGCATGGTCAATGTTGAAAGGCAAACCCTTGGGACCGTAATTGAAATAGTCGAGACCAAGGGCGTTGATCACAGACAAGATGATATCATCGTGAGACATGTCCATGTAGAAGGGCTGGCCAAATGGAAACTGGGCTTCGTTATTGGTGTAGGTGTAGTTGATACTTGTATCGCTGGAGTTGATGAGCTTTTGCTCGAGGCGAGCGGCGAGCTCTAGAACGTAGCCGATGCCCTGGGCGCGACCACTGGGCGAACCATAGGCGTAGTCTCCATAGTACTGCACGTCGACGTTATACTCGAAGTCCTTCCATTCTTGCTCGGTGAAAAGAGAGCAGAATGATGAGCCGCCAAGACTAGTGTACTCATATACACAGAGGTTCTGCATGGCGAGCACGTCCATGGCGGTCAGGTTGAAGTTGCGAGGGAAGTAGTGAGATAGACGGATGCGAGCATTCTTTGTGTATCGAGAAATGAAAACCTCAGCAGCATTGTCGCTGTAATTTTTGTCAATACGGTTTCATGATTAGGTCTTCATTGTTGCAGGACTTTTGGCTCACCCTTCAATATAATCAAAAGTGCACGTTTCGTAAGAAGCGAGAGTGTTGTTGAAATCCCCCTGCTCGGGAATTACGACAAGATTATACTGATCGTACGAGCTGTTCGCTCCACTGTTGCCAAAGAAGCCGCCTAGTCGAAGAGGTCAGCTGGTTATCCGGGACTGATAAATCAGATGAGAGTTGCACTCACTAAGCCACCAGCGTGCGCTTTCCAAAATACGTGCCTGGGAGGTAGTGCGAAACACTGGGGTCGGGCGATCTGTGCCGTTGGCATAAACGTTAAGAGATGAGCTCCAAGCAGCGACATTATCACGTCCGGCACGGTACAACAGTCTTCCGTACTTGATCCAAAAGTTGGCACCGGCTGTAGCCTCAGTGGCAGCACCGTTCTCCATAAGAGTGTCCTCGCCAAGAACATAGTCCCAGTTGTTCAGGAACTTCAAAGGACCCACAGCCACGGTCTTGTTTGGGTGAGCCTTGCTGTAATTGGTCAACTTGGCTGCGAAGTTGATCATTCCCTCGCCGTCCAACGGGTAATCCGTGGGAAATCGCTGCGCATGGCGATGCAGAACATGCACCTGAGACAGTTCACATCCTTGAGGGACACCGCTAGGAACGCCGAAGCTGTCTGCGTCCTTATAGGGGCTGAGATTGGCCCAGCTCTTGGTCATGTCAAAGCCAGATGCATAGCTAGATCCTGTTGGGCCCGATGCAGGAGCAGACGTGCTAGTCGCTGTAGCTGTAACAGCTGTCACCAGCGTGACTACGAGGAAGCTCTTCATGGTTGATTAAAGCCTCTGGGTTTTGTTGGGTAGTATCCACTGTTCACTTCAACCTCTCGTTCTCAGCCAGAGTTTAGAGATACCCAATTGCAAACTCTTACAGTGTAACCGATCTCTTGAATTGTTTATCGATGAATTCTCCAATTAACTTTCGGGGGATTGTTGTTCCACGCTCATTTGAGAGTTAGTGATCGGCGTTGTTTCCTCCTTACTGGGTAAGTGGCCCCTTCGCCCCGGAGGATTGGTATCCGGTCCTCACTTCATTTCTCACCCTGTCTATAGCGTACTCACCCTTCTCACACGGCCGCGTAGCTTCAAAGCGACACTCATCCTAAAAAGCTCAACACCATATACTTATAGTTTACATTATATACTCCTCTCCCGCATGTAACGTGAGTGGAAGACAGGGTTTCAATACCGAGTCCAAATACCCGTCATATACGGACGAAAACCACCTGATCGGATACAAAGTAATTTATCCGGAATCTCGTCGGACCTCGGGTCCAGATAACCCATCAAAAAGTGCAGTATTGACCAGTGATTTTGCCTATTTATATTCGCGCCTTTTCTACCACCTACCTATAAGAATGACCAGGAGCGGAGAATATCTTAAATTCATCTATGTTGTTAACATGAAAAATACTATAGTGAGCTTATACTTGCGTTAGTGTATAGTGCGATCCCAATACGCACTATAATGTTTTTCAAGGACCCATGGATTGCATTAGAAGTTCCCATGGTACTCAAAACATGACGGCCACGTGATATGTGTCGATCGTGTTTCTTTTATTTACCAGCCTTACACGTCAATCATACCATGCTGTCACTAGGCACGGAGTAGACTTTCAAGGTTGCTACAAGCTTTACGGAGTGCTTGGCTATAATGTGAATCAATCTAGCTAGGACCCCACTGCCTCTGGCCCTTTCTAAAATTCTAGCTGATAATGTGAGCTTCTCATCCATCCTTCGTATTCCAGCCGTGAGTTCGTGATCAAACGACAAATTATACGAGATTCCTTTGTATCAAGCACGCATCAAATGAATGATCCTGGTCTCGACGACACCATTGCCGACGAGGCAATCGCTCTTGATCACACCTCCAGTTCTCCAACTCAGGAGATAGACAAAAAGGATAAGTCCTTGCAACATGATGCTGAGCACCAGCAAGCTGCACGTTGGTGACTCGCATACCCTCTGGTAGCTGTATGTAGAGCCCTACTTGGTCATTCTTGATGTCCGCATTCTCATTATTTCTTTTTCGGGGCATCTTCGGGCCAATGGCTAGCGCTTTCAATATCTGTTCTTTGTCACAACCATGTATCCAAACTGGCAGCTAACTAGTTACAATTATAGCTGCGGCCTGGTTATGACACAGGCAGAACGACATCTCAAAAAGCTGCGTGGCTCCCGAACCTACTAGCTAGGTCCTAACCGGGTGATTACGAGCCAATTGATGATCATTCAACTATGTCACATTGAAATGAACCGCATTCTGATATCAATGAGTTCCCTGGATCAATTAGGCCAGAATATGGAGATCCTAAAGCGTCTTTGTGGAGACATCCGTAGCTTGGCTATTCTGTAGGCTCCAGAATAATGTTTTTACACACAGAAAACACCCAGAGGTACATTTTTAGGGAATTTTTGGCTGATAATTGCCTGGCTGCAGTTTTCCTTTCTATGATTGTGAGCCGCTAGTGTGGCCCCCACAGCACCGGGGGACAGGGTAAATTTGATAGTACGCATCGATCACTCCAAGATCGCCAGCCACTTGAGAGGTTGTCATCCCCTGCTGTGACTGCCGATTGACTTAGACCTATTCCCCTCTTTACCATTCATTTTTCTCAGGTCTCGCAGGATTACTATTTTGTTAAAATGGCCACAGACCAGAAGAACGAAAATCTTATGGGTTATGCCATATACCGAAATCGTACATGTCCAGTCAACGCGAACAATTATTTTGTTTACACGGACGGACATTTCGCCCATGTTGTCCGAAAAATACCCACCCCACGAATATCAATATAAACATATACTACCCAACTAAGGATAACTGTAGCGCCGCACTACGCAATAAAGAGCGCTATACGGACTATACAGCGAATCTTCACTATATTGAAGACATGAGGGATTATTTATGATGTGAAAATAACACTGAGGGATATTTTGCAGTCGTCAAAGAAAGCATGCTGCGCGAGAAGTCTCGCTACTGATTACTGGACCCAAATGGTGTGTAGAAATATCGCCAAAATAAGGCAAAATAAACCAGCGCAGACAAGCGGGGGCAACTGACACAACCCAACACAGCCTCAACTCCGCCCGACATTAAAATCCATGCTGAAGAGCCCCACAAAGATCCTTGGGCTCGCCTTTGATCTTTCTTTCCTTGAATGAAACGGCAGATATGAGTTTCGGCTTTAGCATCGGGGATTTCCTCGGCATCATCAAGGATATTCATCATATTCGAAGAGTTTTCAATGGTGCGCCCGCTCAATTCAAGTTTCTCAACGATGAGTAAGGCATTTCGTGAATTCTGAGTGCGATTTGCATTGTCATACTGACCTGGAGGCTCATAGAGTGAGAAGACTCTCCATTCTCATACAGGACGTCGAGACATATATTCCAAACGCAGCACAGAAAGACAAACTGGACCAGATAGCAAACGATTGTAAGAATCTAGTCCAAGATATCTGGAAGGTTATTGGCAAATACAGAGAGATAGGCCAGAATTCTAGCATCAAACATTTTTGGAAACGCCTCAAACTGGACCCAGAAGACGTTCGAGAAATTCGGGATCGGGTTTGCAGCGTCATTGAGTCCCTCACTGCTATCAATATGCGCATTACCCAAGATCAAGTTCAAGAGCTTATCAACTACAAGGATGAGGAACAGCATCAAAAACATCTCGACTGGCTGTCATCGGAAAGCTTCGCAACAGATTGGGGCAAACCAATCTACCAGCCAGGGACTGGGAGGTGGTTCATTGAGTCTCCTGGATTTCATACTTGGATCCAGAATCCGGGGCAGACGTTATTCTGTCCTGGAATACCTGGAGCAGGGAAATCTAATATGGCATCAATCGTTATAGATGAGCTGGATCGTCTTCATGGAAACGATACGAGTGTCGGCATTGCCTACACGTTCTGCAGCTTTCGATATTGTGATGACCCTCGCCAGTCCCCAGATAATGTATTAGCAAGCATGATTCGACAGTTGATTCGGAGACTTCCACTACTTCCATCGACGGTTCAGTTGTTGTATGAAAAGCACAAAAGCAATGGCTCCCGGCCTTCATTCAAGGACCTTTCGAAAGTCTTCAAAGATGTTGTCCAAATGGCTTTGAAACAAGTTTTTATTGTCATTGACGCGCTTGATGAATGCAAGGCCGTCACAGTATCTCGCATTCTCAGCCAAATATCCGAGACTCAGGCGTCTGGGAACTTGAACTTTTTGTCAACCTCAAGATCTGTTCCGGCTATAGAGGCGAGATTCCAAGGGAGACCTTTTCAAGAGATACGTGCAGCAAAAGAAGATGTCATAAAATATCTCAAGGCTCGTTTGGAAGATTGCGAGGAGGACTGCGCCTTGATCCGAAGACCGGCTCTGCAAGAGAAGGCTGTAATTGTCATCGCAGACTCTGTTAAGGGAATGTAAGATTTATGGGCCTCAAGTTCAGTATTACTATTCCGTCTCATTCTCTAACAATTATATAGGTTTCTATTGGCGCAGCTCTACTTAGATTCATTGATCTCAGCTCCTAGAGCCAAAGAGATAAATGGCGAATTAGAGAGATTGATCAATAGATCAAATCAGATCGATGAGGGAAACATTGCCGTTGACGATGCGTACCGAGACATTGTGGAACGTATCAACAACCAGGACCCACGTCGCCAAAGACTGGCCAAAGACACGTTGTCATGGGTTATCTGCGCCACACGACCCCTTACTACCTTGGAGCTACGTACCGCTCTTACGATAGAACTGGGAGAATCGGATCTAAATGAAGAAGATCTTTATGATCTTGAAGACATACTCTCCTCGTGTGCAGGGCTAATCACTGTTGGGTCCGACGGTACAAAGGAAGTGGTTCAATTGGCCCATTATACGATGCAAGAATACTTCACACGACATCAGACTGGGTTCTTCCCAGATGCAGATAATACCATAACAGAAAGCTGCCTTACTTACCTTTCATACGATATCTTCCGCCAAGGAATGTGTTCGAATGACATCAAATTCGAAGCCCGGCTCAGTCAATATCCGCTATATTCTTACGCTGCCAAAAACTGGGGCTACCATGCTCGAGTGCATTCAGCAATCGATGATCTCTTATTGTGGTTTTTAAGTAATACCTGGGTACTAGATGCGAGCGTCCAAGCGCTATTTTCCTTGAAAGGATATTATGGCTTCGAAAGCTATTGTTTGAGAGTTCCATTGGGATTTACGGCATTCCACCTGGCTGCATGGTTTGGATTGGAGAAGGTATTGCAGTTTCTTATCAGTCAGTGTGATGGGTCGAGTTCCAGGGACTCTATGAATCGGGATCCACTCGCATGGGCAGCTTCGAATGGTCATATGTCAGTTGTAAAGATGCTTCTCGATCATGGAGTTGAGCCACTTCAGCATGACGAAGATGGCCAGACACCAATTTCTCTAGCCGCATTGAACGGTTACACTGAGGTCGTGAAGCTCTTCTTGGACTACAATATTGACCCAAACCCCCGAAACATTGGGAACAAAATTCCTCTGACAGAGGCAACGTATCGAAGACACCATGAGACCGTCGAACTACTTCTTAGTAGAGGTGCACACCCAGACCCTGAGAACAATTACGAGAGGACCCCTTTCCTATGGGCGTGTTATAATGGCTCGATTGAGATAGTTCGAACTTTACTGGATTACTCCGTTGTTAAAACGGGAGCTTCTGGCGCATTCAACAATTACTGCATTGATTTTGCCCGGAGAGATGATCAAGGAAACACTGCGGTTTCCTATGCTTTAGATCATGGCCACCATGATATCATTCAACTCTTACGCGAGAAAGGCGTTCTTCCAGAACTAGATTCTCACATTGATGAATTATTCTGCAACTGGAGCACTGGTGCTAGGGGAGATGATGTCAGTGCTACTCTACCACATATTGGACCCGCAATTGGCTGGCCATTCATCGATGCACAGGAAGTGCCGAACAACAAGCGCAATCCTCATAAATCGAGCTTTAAATGTCCACTTTGTACTCATGTACGGTTCAGTTCCGCTGGCACTTTGCTAAGGCATGTGCAGACCATGCATTGCTCGGATACGAGATGGAAGTGTCCACACCATTCTTGTGGAAGATCCTTTAATAGAAAGGATAACCTTCATTCGCATGTTCGGGTAAGCCATAGGGGAATTCAAGAAGACATGTCAAACTCCAAACAAAACTTGCATCCCCCAGCAAGGTGTCTGGTTTGCCAAATTCCTCTGAGTTCTTGGGCGGCATTTAAGACCTGCATTGTGAAGCATAGCAAGGAAGTTTTGCCCACAGACTAGCTGGAATGAAGAACACCGGTCAGACGAAGAGTAGGCTCGGATGAAGTATATAGATGAAAATGGGGTAGAACGAAAATGGGGTAGAACGAAGGAATAAATCTGTGGCACGACCCACTGAGAGACAATGACTCACCTGCGACACCTGAATATAGTACAAAGAACCTCGTTAATCCGCATTTTGTCGGCATTCAGAACTGCAAGCATAATAACCCTAGAAGTAGAAGCGCACATCCTTCCCACTCACCTCCGTATCCGTCACCGAGCCCAGCGCACCATCGCAAACCTCCACACACTACCTCTGGAACACCCTATTTGGAATACTCTCTCGTGCATCTAAAAACACAGAAACAGCATCGGTCATTCGCTTGCTTTCCGCTAGCGGAAGCGCTGAAGACCATGGACCTAGAAAGCCTCAAAGAACTAGAGACAGACCCACAACCACTGCCACCGTAGCGTCTCGGCCCCTTTGGGGAGATTTAAGTCGGTTCAGACCGAGAAGCAGCGAGAGAACAGGCTGAGGTCGTTCGCTTAACATCAGACAGTGTCGTCTACTCGGATGCCTCCGGACGCGACGGTCATTTAGGGCCCGCAGTGGTAGCACTCAACGACAACATGGAGGTGGCGGCATCCCAACAGGTTCAGGTTGAACCGATGGACCGCTGATCGGTTCACGTACCGGAGCCAATAGACATCTGTTACGCCATCCTAGCCCGTAAGACGGTGTCTTGTTTACCTCTCTTGCCTTTAGTTGAGCCTCCCAGCAGACTCGATAGGCTGTTGGCCGCGTCGCCAGCTTCACTCCTTAACGCAATATCTCTGCAATCTTTATATGTGGGCAGTTAGAAAGAGGTTTCCATTAAAGCTAGGTCATCCTACAACAGAGGATCGCGACCTCTCGTCCTAGTTTGCATTCCGGGCGAGTTCTCTCACATCTCACACATTGATCGTTATACTCAATCAAGTTGGTGATCCAAATATATAACTAACAACTCTTTTGTAGTATATCCGGGGGGAGTTAATAAAGAAATATAAGCTCCATATAAAGCTGCGAGGGTGTTTTATATAATTATAGTAAGAGATACTTACTACCTTCTACGATGGTTATTTACTAGCGATTCATGTGATTACATCTACGAGAGGGCTAGGGTATAAACGATGGAAGAAGTGAGGCGCTTCCATAGGGAAGAGAGTCCCATAAGTTCCATCCATATAGTCGATACATACTGCGCCAAATGCATTTAGAATCAGGGCCTACTATTCTTAAAATGCATTGGTTCATAGAGAGAATTTTCTCGATAATCATCTGAAGCCAGCTCCTACGACCAGGACGTCTACCTGATGTGTGCTCGCCATTATGAAGTTTACCATGGAGACTTGATAAATGGCATGTGTGTCTCTTTGTCGCCATTTTTTCTCTTCTAATATGCCATAAATAGAGCGGCTCAAACACCATGAGTGGGTGACCCGACATGATCAATGGCAATCATTTTAACCACATACTGCCTCAGCATTCAGTGCAATGTGTACCATACGGAGGATCAATTCTTCATTAATTCTCCTTTCCGCATTTTATTACAGAGCTTTGCCACCGTTCTCTGTTTACTGAAATTTCTCGGACTAAGGTACAGGAAACAAGCTATTATGAGCAAGGCATCCTTTTGATTAATCCCAATCTTAGACTCGTGATAAGCTACCGAATCTCCTAGAAGATAAGCTAGTGTGTAGTCACCATCCAACCGCTAATTCATTTAAACCAATTTGACACTCTTTTCCACTGCAATGGACCACCTTTCTTCCAATGCCACGCGATGGTTCTGACAAAGGAGATCTTCCCGAGCCCAAATCTCCCCGGCATACAAAAATATGCCTCAGCCAGTGCTAACATATACGAGGGATTTTCGCGAATAAGTGAATCGTGCAGGTCCTGTTTGATATCTTCCCTCTGTTCGTCACCCATCTCATACTCGCGAGAAACTCCACAACACCAGCACTCCACTGTACAATGACCGATTCCCCTTCTCCTATATTGGGATCGAAGACGATGTTCGCAACATCCGCAGTTTCTACTGCAGCATCCACTCCTTGCTTTACAATCATTGACGAGCTCTTCGCGAAGATACCAGGCAGGTTTCTGTCTGATTTTGTCGTAAGTTCTCTTCAGCGGTTTTTCGGGGAGCAGAGTCTCCGCGCGGAACATGCTAATTTCCATGTCGATGAAGGTTCTTTTAAGCTCCTCTATCTCTTTCTCATATCTTTGCAACTTGCTCAGTTCATCCTTGCTGCATTCAATCTTCTGCATCGGCCACATCTTTCGCTCGAGGTAATCTATTCGTTGCGCTGTTTCTCGCAAGTAATTTTCCACGAGCATAATGTTAGATAGCGTAATCATGTCCACGAGCAAGCCTTTGCTATGCTCAAACAACCGTGCTCCGTCCTCGCTATACTCATCGAGGGCCGTGAAATAGCCAAAGCTATCATACAACCGTGAGACCTTGAATTTCGACATGATGTGATTGAAATGGGTCGCCAGTATGTGAAGCCTTGACCGAGCAGGGTAAGAGTTTACCACGAAAGTTGACGTTCAGTCTTTGGAGATGGTTGAAAGTAGAGTGAGAAAGATAAAACCAGTTCCGTAAAAAAAGATTTATGAAACGGAAAAAGAAAATGACTGTAAAGTGATCAGCGCTTGGGTCTCCTTAACTATGGAATTTTTTACTTGTTCCAAGGTTATATCAACCCGATGAGGCCTCGGGAACCTTGAAAGTTTCTATAGATGTACAGTGAATTTGTACAATGACCGGCTGCTTATACGGCCTCTATAAGTAGCGATATAACATTTGGATAATCTAAATATCCAGTTAGCTCAATATGATGCTAGAGATGCTTCAACTGATATTCCACTATGATGTCTTTTTCTAAAGTCTTTAGACCATCCTTAAGTTCATGTCTAAAATGTCTTCTGATATGTCTTTTCTGGTACCTATAAATGTCTGTTGAAGATAATCTGCCATAAACTGTAGGTATGACATGCTATAATAACCTAGAACCACGAAGATAGTCTTTTCTGCTGGGAATAGAAGTCAGTATGACTGCTATACACTACGATAGTCTACCTTGGGAATCATTTCTAAGATTTTCGACTAAGCTCTTATTGGCGGTGGCCGCGGTCTTTCCCAAGGTTATTTCCCAATACAGCCAAGTACTGCAAAACTACATACGTATGTATGTATGTACTTAACACCGGAAGAAAGAATACCTGTGGATAGCCCTTAATGGCAGCTAAGAAGTCAACTATAGTACATCCATGGATACTCGCGAAGCAAGCTCCCACCCAGTTTTCCAAATAGCCCAAAATCTCCTTACACATACTAGTATGTATGTGCCTATTAAAAATAGAATTCCTAGAACTTTGAACATGAGAAGACTGACTCGAATAAAACCTTTTCTATCATTTATGTTAAGGTAATAAAATACTGACAAGAGTACTGAACAAAAGCGAAAATCACGATATTGTTAGGTGTTGTAAAGAAGCGTTTGGCACCCGATATAGCATAACTGCCAGGGGAGGTCTCATCTATATGCATGGTGATTGTGAGATGAGATGGACAAAGTAAGTTGTTACAGGCTGTGATTCCTGATCATAACCTCATTAGTGCAATGATAATCTAGCGTCTCCCAAAGTAAAATGGCAAATTCTACATAGTGATGAAAGGTGGATATTAGAAAGTGATTTTCAAGAACTATAGTATGTCTTCTGTTCCGCAACGAGAAAAGGAACAAAATAGGGCCCTGTGGGTCGTTATAACCTAGATTATCAGATACCCAGGTGGCACTCTGTCCCTTCTCCTATTGGCAACAGAATCTTACAAAAGTTGCAATGGAGAACCTTAGAAGGTTGCCGACCTCTGGAGGTAGAGAAGGTGTGACTCACTATTCCAAGTCCATCCTCGCACATCGCTCAGGGAGGAAATAATATATAACACATTGGATGTGGTAATTCCGGAGTAAACCGGATACGAAGGGGCATAGCGCTCAGGGTCGTATACACCCATTTGATGCCCTAATGCCCGAGTTCGGCCTAAATGTAAACCACCCCTTTTACACCTCTTCATACGATATATTGATATGTATCTATCTGCCTACTTGTAAACCTCTGTATATAAATGATTATATAACCGAACCCCGAAATGCAAAAGGGATAGGTGAGGTCAGTGCGTAGTGACGACGTCCCCCACTATAATATGTGTCTTCTTTTTTTCAGTTAGATATGACTATAAGCGTTGAATTATCCAAGTCTTTCTTCAACATCCATCCACATTGAAATCAATCGAGCTTGAAATTGGCGATTGATCATTCAATGAATCTTGTACCTTGTCTTCTATAGCTCGTAATAGTTCAGTACTCCATATATCATGCCAAAAGAGCCCGATTTTGCTAATTCTTTGTCCACAAAATCTTCTGTGCTGATTTTTCTTGAATGATTAATTCCCTGATTGCAATGAGCAAGGTTAGGATTGAATATTTATTTCTGTACAAAATTTTAAGCACTCATGCTATATATATATATATATATATATACATACCTTAATTTGGGTATTAAGCTTCTTTCCACTCTAATACCATGAGAATTGCGAGTGATTGAGGAGTTGAGGGGTCTGGCTTGGTATTACTCAAGGATATCAAGTTCTAGCCCTGGAGATATTATGGGAACCTGCTATTATAAATGCTTGAGGCATATGTAAGGGCGAGTACGCTTAAGAGGGAATACAGTGAAGTGCAAAACCAGCTTCACCAATTTACACTCATCTCTTCATTTTGGGCCCCACTGCCAAGGGGCTAGTTTAAAGAACGGGCGTCGACCTGTGTCGTTTGGAATTCATCTGGTGGATCACTACTGTGTGGGTTATATATTCTCCGAATGCTACCAAGGTAAGCTGGTGGTGGGGCGACGCTAAAACGCTGTCCCTAATAACATCAACCGCACTTATTCCTATTCATGGAAGCCAGCAAACCCTTACCATCATGACACACACGATCGCATTTGGTGACGGGAACGCTGGATTTCAGTTAGGAAACAACTACGGTTTTATCACGAATGAATTTCATGCATCCGTAGGTAAGTGATAAGTGATTCCCTCACTGTTGACCTATACTGATCGTGACAGATCTCGACAAGGAGTTGCCCGCCGTAAATAGGGCTTCTTTCGACTCATACGACAATCAACACGAAGAAAGATGTCTTCCAGGCACTCGAATCGATATCCTCTGTCAAATTAAAGAGTGGGCTTCCTTGCCGCAAGGCAGGTGCATTTTCTGGTTAAATGGGATGGCTGGGACCGGGAAATCAACCATCTCTCGAACAGTGGCGGGGTCCTTCAGCGAAGCAAAGTCATTGGGGGCAAGTTTCTTTTTCAAAAGAGGCGAAGCCGATCGAGGGAATGCTAAGAGGCTTTTTCCGACGATCGCAAGGCAACTTACAATTAGCATTCCTCAACTGCTCCCCTATATCAAGCAAGCGGTACTTGATAACTCAGGTATCATAGGGAAGGGACTAAAGGAGCAGTTTGATAAGCTGCTTCTCCAACCACTCCTGAGCCTTCGACAATCAAATCTCCCGTTACATACTATTGTGATAGTGATCGATGCATTGGATGAATGTGAAGGGGATAATGATATCCGACTCATACTCCAGCTTCTGCCACAACTCCAGAAGCTAGATACTTTTCATATACGAGTGTTCTTGACCAGCAGACCTGAATTGCCAGTTCGTCTAGGCTTCTCAAAGATCGCAATCCAAGACCATAAGGACCTAATTCTGCATGAGATTCCAGAGAAGGTGATTAAGCATGATATATCACTATTCTTACGTTGGCGGCTGTCAGAAATAAGGAGTGACTCCTTTCTTCCTGAAAACTGGCCTGGAGAGAAAAAATTGGAGGAACTAGCAGCATTGTCTATTCCGCTATTTATTTTCGCCGCCACTATCTGTCGCATGTTTGAGGACCCTAATTGGGACCCAAGAGATTGTCTTACTGAGATCCTTGCCTACAGACATGATAAATCTAACATGGATAGGACATATCTTCCTGTATTGGATCGGTTACTTATTGGACAGACAGAGAGACAGAAAAAGCAGCTTGTCGAAGAATTTCAGCAAGTGGTCGGATCAATTGTGATATTACAGGAACCTCTGTCTGTTATCTCACTATCAAAGCTTCTGAACCTCCCGGGACGACTTGTTCAGCTGAGGCTGAAGCCGCTTCATTCAGTTTTGAAGATACCAACTGATAGAATATTACCGGTCCGTCTCTTTCACTTGTCATTTAGGGATTTTCTTCTGGATTCCGAGACTGGCAGTAAAACACTATTGTCAGTGGATGAGAAAGAGGCCCACTATAAATTGACCATTCGATGCCTTTCCACGTGTCAAAGTCTGCGAAAAAACATATGTGAACTGCCGAGTGACGGAGCCCGCCGGATAGAAATCGATCATCGTACTGTCGATCACCATATTCCTCCTGAACTACATTACTCCTGCCGTTACTGGGTGTACCATTTGGTGAAATGCAACCATCTCAGAAATCTCCTTCATCAAGCTCTTCTCTTTCTCAAAGAGCATTTCCTACACTGGGTAGAAGCGATGAGCCTACTAGGCTTTGCATCAGAAGTAGTAGGGATGCTCAGTCTCCTTCAGAAGAACATACCAGTATGTCCTAAAGCAGTTATACGAAATTTATACTAACAAAAAAAGAGCAATCAACATTCTGAAATATCCGAGTTTTTATATGACGCAAAACGGTTTGTCCTGAAGAATCTTCAGATAGCTGATAATGCGCCGCTTCAGCTTTATTGCTCTGGACTCATATTTGCACCCCGTAAAGCAATTGTTCGTGGACAGTTCCAATCAGAATTTCCTGATTGGATATATCAGTTGCCACAGGTTGAAGAAACTTGGAGCTCGGAATTACAGGTTCTCGAGGGCCATTCTAGTCCTGTTGAGTCAGTGTCCTTCTCGCCCGACGGCGCGCTGCTGGCGTCCGGCTCTTATGATAGAACTATACGGCTTTGGGACACGGCGACAGGAGAGCTGCAGCAGACTCTCGAGGGCCATTCAGGTTGGGTTGAGTCAGTGGCCTTCTCGCCCGACGCCGTGCTGCTGGCGTCCGGCTCTTATGATAGAACTATACGGCTCTGGAACACGGCGATAGGAGAGCTACAGCAGACTCTCGAGGGCCATTTAGGTTGGGTTGAGTCAGTGGCCTTCTCGCCCGACGGCGTGCTACTGGCTTCTGGCTCTCATGACAAAACTATACGACTCTGGGATACGGTGACGGGAGAGCTGCAGCAGACTCTCGAGGGCCATTTAGGTTCGGTTATTTCAGTGGCATTCTCACCCGACGGCGTGCTGTTAGCATCTGGCTCTTATGATAGAACTATACGACTCTGGGATACGGTGACGGGAGTGCTGCAGCAGACTCTCGAGGGCCATTTAGATTCGGTTGAGTCAGTGGCCTTCTCACCTAACGGCGCGCTGCTAGCGTCCGGCTCTAATGATAAAACTATACTGCTCTGGAACACGGCGACAGGACGGCTGCAGCAGACTCTCGAGGGCCATTCAGTTTCGGTTATTTCAGTGGCCTTCTCACCCGATGGCGCGCTGCTAGCGTCCGGTTTTAATGATAAAACTATACGGCTCTGGAACACGGCGACAGGACGGCTGCAGCAGACTCTCGAGGGCCATTCAGTTTCGGTTATTTCAGTGGCCTTCTCACCCGATGGCGCGCTGCTAGCGTCCGGTTTTAATGATAAAACTATACGGCTCTGGAACACGGCGACAGGACGGCTGCAGCAGACTCTCGAGGGCCATTCAGGTTCGGTTATTTCAGTGGCCTTCTCACCCGACAGCGCACTGCTGGCGTCCGGCTCTCATTTAGACAGTATACGGCTCTGGGATATGGCGACAGGAGAGCTGCAGCAGACTCTCGAGGGCCATTTAGGTTGGGTTGAGTCAGTGGCCTTCTCACCCGATGGCGTGCTGCTAGCGTCCGGCTCTAATGATAAAACTATACGGCTCTGGAACACGGCGACAGGACGGCTGCAGCAGACTCTTAAGGGCCATTTAAGTTCGGTTATTTCGGTGGCCTTCTCACCCGACAGCGCGCTACTAGCGTCCGGCTCTAATGATAGAACTATACGGCTCTGGAACACGGCGACAGAAGAGCTGCAGCAGATTCTTAAGGGCCATTCAGATTCGGTTGATTTAGTGGCCTTCTCACCTAACGGCGCGCTACTAGCGTCCGGCTCTAATGATAGAACTATACGGCTCTGGAACACGGCGACAGGCGTGCTGCAGCAGACTCTCGAGGGCCATTCAGGTTCGGTTATGTTAGTGGCCTTCTCACCTGACGGTGCGCTGCTAGCGTCCAGCTCTAATGATAAAACTATACTGCTCTGGAACACGGCGACAGGCGAGCTGCCGCAGATTCTCGATGTCACTGAACCAATCACCGATCTCAAATTCAGTCAGGATGGACTATATCTCAAGACTAATCTTGGTTTCCTCGCTATTCATTCTGCGTGTGAAAAGCATGCCTCTAGTTTGAGCAAGAAATCTCGGAACATTGTTATTGAAGGACAGTGGATAATGCTTAATGGCAAAAGAGGACTATGGCTACCACCTGGGTCTCGGCCTACGTGTTCTGCGGTCAGTGGTAATTTACTTGCCCTAGGACACTCATCAGGGCGCATTTCGTTTTTGGGATTTCGTGTCTAGTTAATGTTAAATCATTTCTGTTTCCATTCATTCCTCTATTTTCAACCCTCTTTATAACAGAAGGGCCCGGGAGGAGAAGAGAATATATATTGTTCAATAGTATTAAAGTATTTGATGGAATGGGCCAATTTGTTCCAATCGGTTCCAAATACGCTATATTTTGCCACCAGTCTATATCACTCTGTGAGTGACCATCTCGAACAATCGACGTATTGTATGTATTTGTAACTTACGGCTAGGGGTATTACACAGAGTGAAGTGTCGTAGTTTGACCGCGTTCGGCTATCGCCTACCAATTCAACCTGTCTGCATCCCCTACTTCCTACATCAATATCAGGAGGTTCTACATTTCACTTTGTTTCTGTCGGCAGAAAAGTCATTACAAATCAAAGGGCGTGAACAAGCTTGTTGCAAGGCAATGTATTTTACCCCTCTAAAGTACACTCGATTTTCTGGCTAGAGTCTTGGCAGCAGGGTCCAGAATTAATGGAAGAGTGTAATCTGGTGAAGCTGGTTTTGCACTCGTCTGTACGTTGCGTCCTTTTATAAAATGTACAAAGCTTGATTGCCATTGAAAATGCTCTTTTATTACCACTACCTCACCGTATATAAATCAGTTGAGTTTTTCATAGTTTCCCCGGTTTTTAGTTTTCTAACGTTAAGAACTCCCTTTCACAGTATACCATGCACTTTGATGTAACCCTTCTAGTAGGCCCTGATAAGATCTCAAGTTATTAGCAGTAACAACAGGGTTGTAATATTGAAACAAGTATTAAACCAGATCCTTGAATCTCATACATTTACATTGTAGATTAAATCACATGACTACCGGGAAAGGAGCCAAGTCCTAAAGAGGCTAGTGGTGATTGAACTCTTGGCACTCACCCGTGAGTTTTGCGTGTCGCGACCAACCTCCCCAAGTGCCCCCCAGTAACCCGTCCAATCATCACTTTAGGCCTCCTCTTCCATCTCCCGTGGCCTTGATTTACGCCATTGCTGGCTTTTTCCTGCTCCGTCATATATTACTATTGCGCTTTACACAGACAAATTGATACACTGGAAAGGAGTTGACATTCTGCCGAGCGCGATAGCTGTTTGCTTTGATCCATCATGGATGAGACTCCCATCAACCCAGCTGCGGTCCACGAGAATATTCAGTCTGTGACTGGCCTTGATGGTACAGCTGATGCAGCTCGCGAAGCCTCAGGTATGTCTACCCTCAAATGTGTTTAACGTTGCACCGAGTGCTAAATTCGTGCACAGGAGCGCAATCGCGCCAAGATTCGCCCGTGAAAAAGATCGAGAACACACCTGGATCTGACAACCCGATGGATGCTCCCGCATCTCCCAAACCTCGGAACGGCGGGGCTGAACAGGAAGACGAAGAAATGGGTGGTACTGAAACCGACGGCAAGCCTGACACCGAGGGCTTGGAGGATGCTTTGGGCGAGTCGCATCCGCAAGTGGAGGGAACGGATGGACTTGAAGATGCTGTGGGTGAAGACCAACCTGCGCCATCCAAGTCGTCTCTAGAAGCCGCCGCGCGCGAACAACTCATCACCCAAACACACGCTATCATCCTCCCCAGCTATGCGACATGGTTTGACATGAACACCATCAACCCAATTGAGAAGAAAGCTCTCGCCGAGTTTTTCAATGGCCGCAACCGCAGCAAGACCCCTGCTACATACAAAGATTACCGAGACTTCATGATCAATACCTATCGATTGAACCCCATCGAGTATTTGACCGTTACTGCTTGCCGTCGTAACCTAGCGGGTGACGTCTGTGCTATTATGCGTGTTCACTCATTCCTTGAGCAGTGGGGCTTAATCAACTATCAGGTGATTGGTCTTGTATTTCCCATTCAAACACCTTAGCTAACACATCTGCAGGTTGACCCTCAGACCCGCCCGTCCAATATTGGACCGCCATTCACCGGTCACTTCCGAGTTGTTGCAGATACTCCACGGGGGCTGCAGCCGTTCCAGCCTGGACCAAATCACACCGTCACATCTGGCAAGATTCACCCAGCCACACAGCGTGCTGCCTCGTCTATCCCTACATCCAAAGACGACCTCAACCTCGAACTACGCCGCACCATTTACGATGAAAAAGGCAAGGATATCACCTCCACCGAAGATAAAGAGAAGCAGACGAACGGTGAAGGAACAAACGGCTTGGACATTGCTCAGGAATCCCGGAAGAAGGCACACTGCTTCTCTTGTGGTATTGATTGCACCAAACTCCGATTCCACTACGCCAAATCAGCTTCGACGTCAGCCAACGCCACTACACCAGATACCAAGTATGATCTGTGCCCCAACTGCTTCCTTCAAGGGCGAATGCCTTCTAGCCACAATGCCTCGGACTTTGTTAAGCTTGAGGACAAGAGCCACTCTCACTTGCCCGAGAAAGACACTCCCTGGTCGGACTCGGAGGTGATTTTGTTGCTGGAAGGCCTGGAGAACTTCGATGAAAACTGGGAACAAATTGCGAACCACGTTGGCACACGGTCTCGGGAAGAGTGTGTCATGAAGTTCTTACAGCTAGAGATCGAAGACAAATACGTTGAAGATGCCCCCGAGCTGCAGGCTGGCAGCGGACGTGACCCCATCAGCCAGTCCGAAAACCCCGTTCTTTCTGTCGTCGCATTCCTGGCCCAGATGGCGGAGCCCGCAGTGGCTGCTGCCGCCGCTGGTCGGTCTGTCGACGAGATCCGCAAGGAGCTCCGGAGCCAGTTGGAGAAGGGACAAGACAAGGGCAAAGATGCAGTCAAATCCGAAGATTCTATGGACGTCGACCCCACACGTGAGGCCGAGCAGCAAGTTTCCGCGAAGCCCAAGGAGACCCTTGGCACAATCGCCCTGGCCGCAGCTGCTGCACGTGCCGGGGCCCTTGCCTCACACGAGGAGCGTGAAATGACCCGCCTGGTCTCTGCTGCCGTCAACGTCACCCTACAGAAGTTCGAGATCAAGCTGCAGCAATTCAACGAGATGGAAGAGATTATCGAGGCTGAGCGTCGGGAGTTGGAGCAGGCACGCCAGCAACTCTTCTTGGACCGCATGACGTTCAAGAAGCGTGTTAAGGAGGCCCAGGATGCGCTTCAGACTGTCAGCCTGCAGGGCCCCAACGAGCACACTAACCAGATGCTGGCCGATGCTGCTACCACTGGCATTGGAAACCACTACAGCTTCCAGCCCGTCAGCGGAGATATGCGGGCTGGAACCCAGCCTCTGAGTGCTCACGGTGGTGTCGACTACAAGACCCTTGATTTGTAGTCTTCCTCAATGCATGTACGATAATCCCCCATGGATCTTCCGAGAGAGGAACCCAAAGGGACTGCTTTTCGTCTCGCTGAGTTATGAATATTCTGAAATTTCTGGCTTGGAAAAGGCGCACTTTTTTGTTTTTCTGTTATGTGCTGGAGTTCTTTTCTGTTGATTCACCCTCTCTCCAGAAAGCGGATTGTTCTTAGGGGGTTGAACTAGGGGGTTGGGGATCTTTTTTTCATCAATGTGTTTACTCTCTAATCATATGTCCTTGATGGGAATTTTATATTCTTGCTCAAAGTAGAGTGTAGTCTCTCTCATCCAGGCCCTTTGGGTCGTCCGGTTGAACTTTGTCATGTAGTATTTCAATCAGGGCTGCTCAGCGGTTGGTGGGTTGTCTCGCTAAGAACCATTCTCATCGTCCTCACTGTCACCTATTACGGCCTCGCTCAAAGGAAACGGGGCGGGGAGAGCAACTCCTGGTTGGTTGTATCTAGCCCTTTTCAGCGGAGGCATTTCCATGTCTTCCTTCAGCTCGGCGAAATCGTACCCGTACTCCTCCCACTCATTGCGGTAGATGATCCGATCCCGCCAGTTGAAGATATCTTCTCTCATTCTGCGCTCTGGTAGGACCTTGGTATCGTCGTCAGGTTCCTCTAGCTTCATTGGTTCTTCGTCAACGAAGTCCGGCACAGGTTGCTCCATTAACTTCAAAAAGTTGGCCTCTTGGCGATTGCTGGCGTTCTGGTCCACAATGTCTGCTTGCTCTTCTTCTGGGTCCATTTCCAGTTCGACTGACGGTGCAGCTGGCGTTGATATTTCGGCGTACTCTCGCGTGCGCGGTTGATCGTGATCCATGTCCTCTAGTTCTGAATCTGGTTCTGATCCGAGTTCGGGCTCTGTCTCTGGCTCTGGTTCAGGTTCCGGTTCTGGAGTTGGCTCGGGTTCTGTCTCTTGCTTGTTGATTTCCATTTCGATGTCGTCATCTGCTCCAATATCATCGCCCATTTCGATATTATCGTTGGTATTGTCGTCATCTTCACTGTCATCTTCGTCGATGTCACCATGGTACATGGTTCCGTCTTTACGGTACCGGGTCCATTCGTGTCTGTCGATGATCTCCTCGGCTTCTTCGTAGGTGAATACTGTAGGCACCCAACCTTTCCGGTTGTTGATGTCTTCTAGGACTGTTTCATTGCGACGAGCGACGTCCAGTAAACTGGGCCTGCGGTGCTTCATGTTGAGTACTTCAATGGCGGCCCGCACATCTTGCATGCGAACATATCCCTTTCTATCATTCCCACTGCGGTTCGTGCTGCGCAATCTTGACATTGCAAAGTAAAGGGATGATTGGACCAAGCGGCGAGTGACACTGACAGCGAGAGAGTAGAAGTCCACGGCGGTATCTGCAGTCATAGACGGGGTATGTCCATATGCTGTGATTAGGTCTTTTCTCTTGGCAAGATTCCACCAGTTGTTCTCCGCTTGTTTACCACCCAGGTTCATGAACAAAATATAAGAAAGCCGAACCCAATCTGGAAGACTCAGCAGATCGGCTGCGAGGCGGAGGTCACCTTGAGCACTGGCGTTCTCCCCGTCGGCCAGATGCTGTGCACGAGCAGTAGTGATAATCCAGTTGTCTCCATAGTTCTTCGTTCCAACTTGAGCTTCACTGAGAGACTCTTTCAATACTAGAACATCCCCATATTCCTCGAGTAGCTCACAGCATTCCTGGCTGACTTCTGTGGCCGCCGGGACATCGCTTAAGACAGGCATGCGCTCCAGGTACACGTCGGAATCATACTGAGCCCTCAAGGACTTGTGCAAAACTCGCATGTATTCCATAACCTCGAGTTCCGACTTGGTACCGATTGCAGCAGCAATCTCTTTGATGCCACCCTTGCCCTTCCGGTCCAGTCCATTGAAGAACACTTCTTTCTCCGCGGGCGTCCAGACCATCGAGCCATATTGACTGAGTTGGTATGTGTGCTCAGTTTCCTTCAGCGAGGCATAATCCAGAAGCTCCTCGTTTTCCACGATAAGGTGGGAGTAGGCTCGGAGAAATCTGAGCGATCCACGCATTTGCGGGTCGCGTCCCAGAAGCGCATCACCGAGTCCATCACCGAGTTGTCGTTCGACCCCTTCGAATGAGGTGTCACCACGGTACTCATGTTCGTCCAGATCTTGATTTGGAGTTGGAGACCGTTCACCGGGCGAGCTGGGTTCGAAGTCGGACTCGGACTCGACGTCGTCGTCGGGCTCATATACGGAGGCGGAGTCGCTCATCGTTCAGGCTCGCAGATTTGCAGCGCATGCGGAACGATCGGTAGCAAAACATCACAGCTGCGCCTTCAATAAAATCTGGCACGTCAATTTCATCAAGAGCTATAGAAACAACAGAAAAAAAGTTGAGCTAAGGAGATCCACTGAGATGCATAGTTATCGATAAGAAAGTTTGCACTGTTTGTTCTTGATTTTGAGCCTCGCCGGAGAATGGGAGAGTGTTTGTAACATCTGCATGGAGTTCATACGCTGTGTCTCGCGCTTAAGGCTCCCAAGGAGGTACTTGGTACAGAGTCCTCTATTACAAAAATCTTTGCGCCATGTGCGCTTCAATTCGACCGAGCCCCCGGTTCCTCAAAGCATTGTGCTCCGCGACTACCAAGAGGAAAGCATCCAATCCGTCCTGAAATATCTGGGTGAAGGCCATCGACGCCTAGGGATTTCGCTTGCAACAGGAGCTGGCAAGACAGTAAGGCTGAATATATTCTTTGTCCGAAATGTTACTAATCTTTGCAGGTTATATTCACACAGCTCATCAGCCGAATCCCTCCTCATAATGCGAAAGCCACCAAGACCATGATCATCGTCCACCGACGCGAACTCGTCGAACAAGCCGCAAAGCACTGTAGTCTTGCCTATCCAGATAAGATCGTCGAAATAGAAATGGGCAAGAATGTTGCGACTGGAGCAGGGGACATCATCATCGCGTCAGTGCAGACACTCGCGCGAGGACGCATGTACAAGTTCGACCCGAGTGTATTCAAGCTCATTTTGGTAGATGAGGCTCACCATATTGTTGCCAAATCGTACCGCGAAGCTCTGGGGCATTTTGGGTTGAACGAGCCATCTGCCAATGGACCGGTCCTGGTAGGTGTATCCGCTACTTTTTCGCGGTTCGATGGTCTCAAACTGGGTGCTGCCATTGATCATATTGTCTATCACAAGGACTACATGGACATGATTAGTGAAAACTGGTTGTCCAATGCAATCTTCACGACTGTCAAGTCCGGGGCCAATTTGTCCAAAGTCAAGAAAGATAGTTTCGGAGACTTTGCCCTGGGATCGCTTTCGGAGGCGGTTAACACTACATCTACAAACAACATCACAGTCCGGGCATGGATGGCGAGTGCTAAGAATCGAAAGTCAACTCTTGTATTCTGTGTCGATGTAGAGCACGCGCGGCAGCTTACCGCCGCTTTCCGCGACCATGGCGTCGATGCTAGGTATATCACAGCTAGCACAGCTAAAGTTGTCCGTGCGGAACAGCTCCGGGCTTTTAAGGACCAAGAATTCCCAGTGTTGCTAAACTGTGGTCTGTTCACAGAAGGCACGGACATTCCAAATATCGACTGCGTGCTCCTAGCTCGACCCACCAGGTCTCGAAACTTGCTCATCCAAATGATCGGGCGTGGTCTTCGGCTGTTTCCCGGGAAAAAGGACTGCCATGTTATCGATATGGTTGCCTCCCTAGCAACTGGAGTCCTGTCAACACCTACGCTGTTCGGCTTGGACCCAGACGAAGTTTTGGACAACACCAGCGTGGAAGATATGAAGAAAAATGACGATCAGGGCAGCGAATCAAAGCCCGCCCCTGAGGCGGTTGAACCGTACGATGGCTCAGATAACGACCTGAAACTCGAATTTATAACTTATGACAGTATATATGATCTCCTAGGAGACATGCAGTCCGAGCGACACATAAGGTCGTTCAGCCCGAACAACTGGGTCCGAGTTGGCGATGATAGATATATGCTTACTGATATATCTGGCTGGGTAACGATTGAGAAAGCAGATGATATCTTCACGGCTCATCACGTCATGAAATTCAAAAACCCAGAAACCGAAGCACCGAAATTCACACGGCCTCGGAGGATCGCCACTGGCTCGGATTTGGAGAGCATTGTCCGGGCAGCGGATACCTTTGCTGGTACCAAATTTGATGAACATTACATCGCATCTTGGAAACCTTGGCGACGGGCCCAAGCAACACCGGGACAAATCAAAATGCTGAATGCAGCTCGCATTCGAGATGGCAATGTGAAACCCGAGGACTTGACTCGCGGCCAAGCGGCTGATATGATTACAAAGCTGAAACATGGAGGCAAAAAGCGCTTCAAGGACTTGGAGGTTCAGAAGCGGAAAAAGCTACGGCAAATGGATAATATGGCTGAGCTGCGAAGAAGGGTTGATGTGAAGGTCGGGCCAGTCGAGGCTTGATAGAATAATATGTGGTTTATACCATTGGAGAAACAAACAACACTCTAATGACAACGAGCTCAAGATTTACATAGGTCCCTGCATTGTATATATATATATAAGCTCGACAGGTTCAACATCATATTTCCAAAACACAATTTAATAGCAATTATATGTCACAGTCTCTTGCTAGGTATCCAACAATAAAGAAATATATCATAAAAAACCAAAATCAAACACCCAAGACCTACTTCCGAGGGAACATATCGTCCCTCATAACTCCTACATTCATCGTCGATGGAAAGGCTTCCTACCCATATACAACTACAACAACCCTACCACATGTCAGTCCCACCAAGCCCCAAGAATATCAAAGAAAACTCACTCTTTAACATAAGCATGCAAATGCTTTTTCCCCAACTGCTTGTTAACCATAGCCTGAAAAATCCGCAAAGGCTCTGCACCCCACCCAAGAACCTGCGTACAAAGCCTTATCCCATAAGACTCCACAGCCTGCTGCACCATAACAGCCTGATACTTCCCAATCTCCTTGCGACAAGGATCACGCAGCCAAGGCGAGTACGGCAGAAAATACATATACTGCTGCACGTCTTGAAACCCCGCGTCAATCACCCACTCTTTCAATCTATGATATATATTCAGCTCCTGCCCCATTGCCTGTCCTTCCGTGTTGAGGGCTTGCAGGTACTGAACGAGTGGCGAGTCGGGTTTGAGGGTTCTGTCATCGCTCCAGACCCAGACGGCGCTTTGTTGGATCTCGAACTAGCCGCGTCGTTTTACGTGGTCGAAGATTCGAGCGAAGAATTGACACCAGTCTGCTACGCATCTGGTGATTGTGAGCTTGTGAAATAGGATCAGTATTAGAGTTGATCTAAAAGAAAATAAACGTCCAATGTTCGCAAAGGTGGGTGCTGTCAGGCCGGTGGCGAAGACTCCGGTTTTGATCCAATGTCTCTCTGCTCCATACCATCCGTCATTCCATACGTACGTTGTATCCACATGTGATACGTCTCGTGCCTATTTGACATTTAATCGGTTCTGAGATTCCACATTATGTTTCTTGCCTGTCGGAGCTGCAAGATATCTAATGTCATAAAGTACCATGAGGTGCAGCGGAGACTTGTAAATGTCTATATCTGTAGAGCCTTCGATCTATACGGTTATATCTACTTTGGATGCTATAATTTGTGCAATTGTCAATATCTGTGACACTGTGTTTTTTGTTCTTCAAAAGAGACATTTTCCTAACCATAACCGAGAACTCTAACAATACCTTAAACTAACCAGCGACAGGGATGCTAAATATATCTATGCAGAAACAGGGAAATAACATTCCACAACTGACATGACTCGGAGATTGTACAACTGATTGAGGCCATCAACGCTGTACAAGAACCCAGGTTAAACCAGTACGGAGCATGGAAGGTCGGCATGTTTGTATAAAGCCAACGTCTAGCCTGCCAGAGGGAGAGCTGATCACTAATGCATTGGATCGCGGGGTGTTGGTTGGACGATTTACCGTGAGGAAATGCCGATCTGCTAGGGCTTACACCACTAATTTTACAATACATGCACAATATTCCGTACAGATGGGGTCACTCCAATAACAAAAGCATGCCCATGCAAGGTTAAGCGTCGAATATCTCGTACGGACTTTTGATAGGCTTTACCTTGAGCAGCCTACTCCTACCACACAGAAACGAAAGTGGAATGGAATACGACATACTCGGTTGCCTCTTTTACTACCTATCAATGTCCAAGTGATTAGTGATTCATAATCACTAGTAGCCGCGGACAAATCATACCTGCTAGCTCTTGATAGCGTAGATGTCTCAGATGTTAGCCGAATCCCCGACTCTATGAAATGGGCCGAATCCTGAAGTGTCTACATGTCATGTAACGATGAGTATATATTTGTCAACGCTGGTAAATACGCTCGGACTTGGACGGTAGGCAAGAGGCGCATAAATTTCTGGTTGATATGGATATGCTTCGTTGTAGTTAGACGTGCTGAGCTGTGGAATTATACACAAAAGGTGCATATAAAAGCAATTTATAAATGCTATTCTTCACCTTTCCTTCTGCAAAGTATGCAGAATGGGTTTGCGGTAGACTCCCTTTGTGAGATTTGGTATTGGCCGTCCAGAAGAGGTCCCCCCACTGGGATTCCTCCAGTGGATAGAAATTCACCCATTTCCCAGGCAAAAACAAAAAAGAAATCTCTCCCTCGGGGAATCGAACCCCGGTCTCCCGCGCTTATCGGTATTAATGACAAGCGGAAATCATCACCACTAGACCAAGGAAGATGTAGCCGAGTTACTGCTCGGCCATTGGCTGGTTGATATGGTAACCGGCCCAACTGTGACTCAAGAGGGCTAGGATAGGGAATTGGTATATGGGTGGACACTGATAACGGCATCAAAAGGAGGCGAGGGTCCATGATGGAGTTGCAGGGCTGCAATCATGGTCACGATGTGTCATGTGTCGGACATGGAGTATTTCCGGATAATGAACATTGTCATGCATGTGACCATGTATTGTAATGTTTCTGCGTTCGCTTGGCTCCTACAGAAGATATAATAAACGTACATACAACATATAGAACCCTGGTTAATCTTAATGAGAGTGAAAACAAAAAGTTTGACATTGAGCACATGGAAGTGGATGGTAACAGGAAGCTAACTAGGACGCATGGAAGGCAAACCATAGGTTCAACATAGGCAAGGGGAAACCATGATATTTCCTGCAGATCGGAATATTGACATTATTTTGGGGAAAGATTACTCATTCTGCGATTACTTCGACCATGACCAGCGCATAGCTTTATGCTCCAAGTTACGAGGTCTCAAATCTACAGGAAATTATAAAGATAATAATAACGAATGTTTGAACATAGAAATGTATTTTGTCCTAGCAAAGCATATGAAATTCATCAAGCGATCATAATATGCATTAAACACCCCGATTGGATGTTCAAAGATCATCCTCATCAGAGAACACCTCCTCACCACGCTTGCGGCGGGCAGCACGGTCCTTCTTCTTCTTGCGAAGCTCAGAGCCTGTAAGATGTGAGTTAGCAATTGAACATTGTGATATAAAAGTGAGAAAGAATTGTATGACATACCAGTAAGCTTGACCTTCTTGGCCACAACGATCTTGTTACCCATGGCATCGAACTTATCCTCATCATCGTCGGCCTTGGCGTCGAGACGGGGGCCAGAACCCTGACCCTGGACCCAGTTGTGTCCGGAGGGGGTCATGACACCGTCGTTGACAGCCCAGACTTCCTCAGTCAGGTGCTCAGTGAACTCGCGGGAGTGAGTAATGATAACAACACCACCCTCGAAAGACTTGATAGCCTTGGAAAGGGCACCGAGGGAGTCACGGTCGAGGTAGTTAGTGGGCTCGTCAAGGACGATAAGGTGGGGACGCTGCCATGAGCAAGCGGCGAGAACGACCTTGACACGCTGGCCACCGGAGAGACCACGCATGCGAGAGTGAGAAACAAGCTCGGCATCGAGACCGAAGTTGGCGCAGTGCTGCTCGATCTCCTTGCGGACAAGGGGACGGAACTGACCGGAGGCGAGGGCCTCCTTCTGATCGACCTCGGCGACCTGCTTGGGGTGGGAGACGATAATCTCGGAACGGGGCAACCAGGTGTTGTCGGCGGACATGAGAGGAGTCCACTTCTCGGACTTCATGCCGATGTTGTCACCCAGAGACCAAGAGATCTCATACTCGTAAGAGTTCTTGAACTTGCGACGAGAGTGGATGCCAATGACACGGCGGAAGGTGCCCTCAACCTGGTAGATCTTGTCCATGGCCTTCTCGTCCTCCTCGGTGACGATCTTGTTGGCGCGATCCATAGTCTCACGGTCCTCACCGGTCTGGAAACGCCACTGGATGTACTCGGAAGGAGTGGAGTCGAGGTGGTTATCGATGTGAGCGAAAGCGTGCTGCTTAATGTAGGCAATACGGATGTTCTCGTGCTGGTAGACCTCACCGGAAGTGGGGATAAGTTCACCAGTCAGGACGTTAACGAGAGTAGACTTGCCAGCACCGTTGGCACCGATGACGGCAATACGGGAGCCAAGGGAGACCTGGAAGGTAATTCCGTGAATCTGGGGCTTGGGGGTACCGGGGTACTGGAAGGACATGTTGCTAACACGGCAAATGGCCTTGGACTTGGTCTTGACACCCTCAAGGAAACCGGGCTCGGGGAACTTGAACTCCATCTCGGAGGCACCGAGCTCGTAGTAGGACTTGGCAGCGGGGTGAGCCTTGACGAAGTCGGAGAGGGAACCGCGGTAACGGCGGAGCTTGAAGCGCTCGTAGTGAACGACGTGCTGGATGACGTTGTCAAGGAACTTGGAGTCGTGAGACACCATGATGGAAGTGCAAGGGGAGTTCTTCAGGTAGTTCTCGAGCCATGCGACGTTCTTGACGTCCAAGTGGTTGGTAGGCTCGTCGAGCAGGAGAATATCGGGGTTCTCGAAGACAGCACGGCAGAGAGCGAGCTTCATCTTCCAACCACCGGAGAGGGCAGTGATGGGACCCTGGATCTGGAACTCGGAGAAACCGAACTCGTTGAGCAGCTTGTCCTCAAGCTCCGCACGGGGAGGGTTCTGGCCAACCTCAGCCAGCTTCTTCTGGGTCCAGGCAATGACAGTCTGCTCAGTATCGGCAGAGTCGAGATCGTGCTCGACGTAGACGGTCTTGACCTCATCCTTCTTGGGGAAGCCCTCAAGCTGCTCGTTGTTGATAGCACGCATGAGAGTGGTCTTTCCGGAACCGTTGGGGCCGAGGAGACCGTAACGCTGGCCACGCTTGAGGCGCAGGTGAGTCTGGTTCAGCAGAATCTTGGCACCGTAAGCCAGGGAGAAAGTGCAGTTGCAAAGATCAACACCTTCCTCCTCGTCGGAGGCAACGGCATCAGCAGCGGCGGCGTCGGGGCAGGCCTTCTTACGGAGCTCCTCGGCGACAGCCTTGGCATCAGCCTCGCCAACGATGGCAGTGATGTAAGGAATGGTGTTCTGGGTCCAGATGACGTGGTCGTTCTCCTTCTCATCAACGAGCTGAGCGGCGATGGCAGCAACGTAGTTGATGGCCTCCTCGGAAGAGGCAATGACGTCCTTGTGCTTGGCCTCGAGGATCTCCTTGAGGATGGCAGCGACGGTGGAGATATCACCGGCGCGGGAGACCTCGGGGATCTTGCCGTCGACGACGTTACCGACACGGCTGAGGGTGTCGAGAGCCTGGCGGGTCTTCTCACGGGCCTCGGGGTCGGCAAGAGTCTCGTTGTTCTTGTTCAAGCCGGGCAACATCTTAGGCAAGAAAGGAGCGACAAGCTGGGGGTCCTCCACAAGCTTACACATGTTGTCGACAATGACAGCAGTCTTACGCTTGATGGCGGTCTCACGCTCAACAAGACCACGATCCAGCAGGGGAACCATGATAGCGAGGGTAGGGCCAGTGACATCAGTAACGAAAGTGGTGGCACCGAGCAAGTGAACGGTCTCGGCGACGTTCTCGGGCTTGGCAATACACTTGATCAGCTCGGGAATGAAACGCTCAATATCCTTGTTGACAATCAGACCGCAGACCTTCTCCATGGTGGAGTAGGCAGCCTTCTTGATCTCGGACTTGGTGTCCCACATGGCCTCGGAGATGACGGGGATCAAAGTGGGGACCTGGTAACCGAGCTGCATCTGGGCAGACTCGACAAGGATGTTGATGCAGTCGAGAGCAGCCATCTTTTCGGGCCACTTCTGGGCGTTGGCGAGAGAGTCGAGGATAGGAGTGATAACGGCCTTGACGGCGTTACCGCTAACAGCCTGGACGATAGCGACAGC